GAGTGAGAAAATAGCCTTAGCTATAGGTTGTTTTCGTTCTAGTGCTTTGAATTGGTGGAAGCTAGTTTCAAATATCTATTCGCATCATTGGTATCGTAATTTGGATGATTGGCATGATTTGACGAATACTTTGCGAGAAAGATATGCTGGTACTAATACCTTTGATGAAGCAAAAGTGAAGTTGCTCAAATGTAAGCAGAATTGTCGATCCATTCAATCTTACTTTGAGGAGTTAGAAGGCTTGTTTCTGAGTTCGGGTGTGGATAAGAACAACTACATGTTGACAGATCGTTTCCACTATGGCTTGAGTAAGGGGTTCAAACAACACCCAAAGATAAGGAGGCAATCAAGGATCTATGAGGCATACTACACTGCCTTAGAAGTGGAAAGAGAGCATGATACTTCTTGTGGTCGGAATAGTCCAATTGAGGATCAAGGCTTGGTGTTTGGCGCTGAAGATGGTGTCAACGGACGTGTATCTTCCGTACTAAGTGTTCGGTTGGGTGGTCCAATGAAGTTGATTTGGTAATCGATGGTGGATCGAGTACTGATTGTATAAGTGAGGAATTTTGCATAGCAAACGGAATCAAGATAGATCCGCATACTAGACCATACAAACTTCAATGGTTGAGTGAAAAGATGGTTGTGGATGTCACTAAGAAGGCCATGGTATCTTTCCAAGTTAGTGAGTATAGGGATGAAATTTACTTTGATGTAATTCCTGTGTCTCATTGTGATGTTTTGCTAGGTAGGCCTTGGCAATCAGATGTAGATGCTGTGCACCATTGCCCGAAGAATATCTTTGTCTTTACTAAAGAGGACAGAAAATATATTCTTAAGCCTTTGGCTTATGAAGAAGCTGAGTCTGTCCGAGAGAAAAGACGTAAGATAACCTATACCCCAAGGGAGAGAAAAAGTCAAGAGAATGACGCAAGAAAGTAAAAAGGGTACACTCAGGTAAGACTTGAGGCGAGAGAAAACCATAAAAATAGCGTGGAAACAGAAAAAGAAGCACGCAATGAGAAAAAATCAGAGTGTGGTGAGGGTGAGGATTTTACTAACACTTATATCTCGTTTGTTCCTTGTGTAGGTTTAGATGTTGATGATTCAAGGACGAATCCTCTTAAAGAAGGAGGGGATAATGAGAATCATATAGCCTTCCATGGTGATTCTCCTAGTAAGGGGAATGAGCTAGTCCTTCATTCTAGTTTTGGAATGCCAAGTTTACTTTGCAGGCCAATCAAGGAAGAAAGAATGGATCTTAGCTACCTATGTGATAGGGAGTTGGTTCAAGGGAACTATGAACAAGATGATGAGAATGTCATTAACTTTGGGGTTCAAACCAAAGAAGATGATTTACTCATGGAAATAAGTGCTCAAGAGTATCAAGGGAGTTTGACTCTATGTGCTCCATGAAGATCATTGATCAAGCTAGAGAAAAGAGTCATTTAGGTTCATGCATGGACAACCTATTTGATCAAAATGTTCAAGATTGAGTCCATTGCTACACAATTGGATATGTTGCAAACTATCTCAATTGTTTCAAGTGTTTTTCCAATCTTTTGGAGTCAATAAAGAGAACTCTATAAGTTTTGGAGTAAATTGGAGCTTGTTACAACTTGAGGGGCGCAAGATCAATATTCCACTTTTAGAAAGGCGTTCAAGACATTTTACTTCAATATTTGGAGCTGATTTTCGAGATTTAGAATATTATCTAGTCTAGGATTTATTTTTGAGTTTATCTAGTTAAGATAAGCCATGTGGGCTGAATTAAGCTAGTGTGTTTTGATTAGGAGTCTTAGATTCCTTCTAAGTATTATCCTATTTGAGGATAAGTCATTTAGATAAGGTTTCCTAGATTTTAGATAGAGTCAAAGAGATCAAATACTCTTCTACTTCTACTCCTGCGTGAGATAAGATTAGAGAGTCCTAGTTGGTCTTCTTTTCTTGGTGCTGGCCGAAATTCATAGCCTATAAATAGGGTAGGATGGCCGAAAATTAAAGCATCCTTGAGTGGTCATTTTTGTTGTCTCTATTGAGAGTTTTTCCTGTGAGGAATTTTTGTTAAATGGTGTGTCCATTTTTCGTGTCAACTATGATTTAACCAAGAGGATTTTCATTTTGTCTTGGATCTTTTGATCTTGCAGAAACCGTTCTTTTTCAAGTATACTTCTTGATAGAATTGTTTTAAAACTAAACTTCTAGTAGTTCGATTGATGAGCCTTTTTCATACTACTTCTAGTAGTTCGATTGATGAGCCTTTCTTTTGGCTTGGTTTTCAAGTTCATGATGTGTGTGTTCATGAGTTCCATTGTGGGGTTTGTCCTACTTTTGTTAGATGAGCTGTGCTTTGGCATAAGCATTTTGAGATAGTGTATGTGTTGCATATCTTTGTTGGTTATGGAGATTACTAATCAATAGTATTCCTTCATAGTTGAGCATTGTTTGCTCCTACCTTTCTTGAGTCTCTTGAATGATGACTGATCGAGTATATTGAATGGTGTCCTTACTATTCTTAGTGTGGGTTATTGTTTAATTCGAATCTTTCATAGATAATGTGTTTTTTGCTTGGTTTGAGTTAAGAGATAGAATTTCTTAAATAAACGATCGTCTTACTGTGAATTTTCCACACTCTTTTGAGTTTTACGGGATAGACAAATTATCTTCGTACTTTCTTGTTTGATGGTTGCATTAACGAAATTTGCTTCATCAACGAGATTGCTATCAATTACCTTCTATACAAATTTTAAGGGATTTGCCTAATATCTTTTCCCTTCTTCCTCCACATCAGCTCGCCTTAATTAATTAACTTTATAATCTCAATCCAAAAAATTCTAATTTTTTAATATTTTTATCTTTTGTTTCGGCTTCAGAGTTTTACCCTCTGATTCTGATTCAGTTGCGGCAAGCATTAACCATCATTTGTCCCGTGATGTGAATTTTTCTTAGGCCAATTTCTCACTTTTAAACGTTTAACAGTGCCTTAGATGTTGTTGAACAGGACAAATGAGGTTGTTAAAAAGGAAAAGATGGACAACTCAACATAATGATTTTGGGATTTCAGTTCCTTTGATTTGATGTAGTTTTTTTTTTTTTTAATAATAATACTCTTTTAATGATAATAATACCCTTTTAGTGCTACGCTATTATAAATTAGGAAATAATAAAAATAAAAATATTTTTTTGTTGAAAGGGTTTGATTGTCTACCCTCTAGAGGTTTTTTTTTTTTTTTTTGGTTCCTGCTGATTTTAGTGAATTGGGAGTGAAATATGTTTTTAAGGAAAAAGAAAATTACGTTGTTACAAACAAAGAGATAGAGAGAGCTAATAACAACAAAAAGAATAAATCTCTTAAAATTTATATAAGATTAATACGGGTATTTGATAAGGTTTTGTTCTCAAAATAAAAATTTGCTCTCAATTTATGAGTTCCCTTATGATATATCTCAAAATTGATGCTTGCTGCAATTTATACGTCATCTGATGACACAAACTGTTTCTTCTTTGAATTTTGCTTATATTTATTTCCATTTGCTTCCAGTTCGGGGAAATCTTCTATATACATGAAATGAATTTTTTTAAAAAAAAAATACGTGTGGTTCAATTAGAATACTAATAGGTTCGTGGTAAATTTAAACAGTAAAACAATATTACATTTATTATTTATTTTAATAAAATGTTGTTTTTTATAATTATGGGTGATGACGACACCGACGTCTTTGTTTATGCTTCTTCGCCGGAAATTATCACCGGTGGCAATAATAGGGTGGTTCATCCGACGTCTTCAATTCCTCGCCAAATATCAACTCCAAATCTCCACACTCTTCACTCTCTTCAAAAGCTATTCAAACCAAATGGTTTTGGTTTGAACGGTAGTTCTGACATATTGGCTAATTCATTTGACCTTCATGAACTCTAAGACAGTGAACAACAAAGACTTCTTGGAGACTGTTTATAAAGATCAATTCTAAAGTAAAAAAACGACAAAAGGAATGAAGAAGAAGAAATAAAAACCGAAGAACTGCACCAAAAAAAAAAAAAAGGCAGAACAAGAGAAGAGAATAAAAGAAAAAGAAATTTGAGAGGGGGGCTGGGGAAGAAAACTAGAAAAGAGATAGGATTTTAATATAGATATTGCATAATGAGGCCAGAAATTTAGACTCTTAAATATAGTGATCCTTAAAGTTATTAAAATTAGTCATTTTTATTAAATTTAATCATTTAAAAATCTTAAATAACTTTTTCATAATCTTTTAATTTTTGTTAATCATTGTGCAAGTCAATTATATGAAAATTGATTTTAAGATTATAGAATGTTGAATATTATGGATGCTCAAGTAGTTATATATCTTTAAATAGGCATCAACAAATTTTCATATAGTTTCTTTGTACATCAAGTTAATATTCTTATGTGAACAAAATGATGACTATTTTTTATCAGTTAAAAATACTTTTTTTTTTTTCCATGAGCTTGAAAAACTTTTGTATTTTTTTATGTGTCATAAATGTGAGATTTTATTTATTATCATACATAATTACTTTCAAAATTATTTATGATATCGAAATGGTGTCATTGCTTTTGAAGAACGGTTTGAACCAGTAAACCAATGACCCAACAGAATTATAAGTTTCATTTTGTTCCAGTCTTCATAACATAGATCAGAACGGAAACACGATAATAAGGAGCTGATAGCTGAATAAGATAAAGAGAGTTTTTCACTATTTATTTTGACTAATGATAATTGTATATGATCCAGTAATTCAAAAATATTTAGGCCTGCCTTTTTTTTTCCATGAGCTTGAAAAACTTTTGTATTTTTTATGTGTTATAATTGTGAGATTTTATTTATTATAATACATAATTAGTTTCAAAATTATTTATGACAACCTAATGATGTCATTGATTTTGAAGAACGGTTTGAACCAGTAAACTAATGACCCAACAGAATTATAAGTTTTTATTTTGGTCCAGTCTTCATAACATAGATCAGAACGAAAAACACGATAATAAGGGGTTGATTGTTGAATAAGATAGAGAGAGTTTTTACCAATTGAAGAAATACTGTTAAATAGGCGCTCCATACGACACCGTTATTGTCTTTCCCTTTAGCAATTTGACGACACCAACGATTTTTGTTCCCTCTTCTTTCCCAATTGAACACGTCTGATAGCCCATATCCTCAAAATTCTACCCCCTGCTTATCCTCTTCAGCGGTCCTCCGGGAGAATTGCAGTTCGTCACCTTTCCACGGTCCATGATTCAGTAATCTTTTTTTCCATGATTCAATAATCTATCATTCCTGTTTACCCAAAAACTTGTGCCCTGTATCCATCCAATTGCGAGTGCCTCTCCGAAATGTACTTGGTTGCTAATTCAAGGTTTGTTTCTTCTATTCTAGTTTTTCGTGCTATTATTTTGATTGTTTACTCCCCTGAATTGAGTTAAATTGGATGGATGGTTTAAATTGGGATTCTTAGCATCGGCTATTTGGAGTTTTCTGTTCTTTGTTAAGGCATTGCGTAAGTGCTTGCTTGATGCTGATAAATTTACTCAATCGGCAGCATTTTTTGAGTGAAAGCTGAACCTACTTTGCGTAACTCAATGATAAACTTAGTATTTTTTTTCCACCTTAAATTTTTATAGTTCCGGTATTGTAGCTTGTGGATAATCCTCCTCCTTGTTCACCTCTCTTGGCTGCTTGTTTTCTTCTTTCAATATGTTTAACAATAGATTGTATCATTTTGAATTTGGTTGAGGCACAAGGGTAATCTCCAAAAAAATGGCAAACTATTGTGGCAATAGTTACTCAAACAAGGGCGGTACTGCCCCGGAGACATTTTTCTAGTTGGAAACATCAGAAAGGTCTGCATAATGTTAAATTCCTTATAGATAAAATGTTTAGGCATAATGACTAAATCTGGGGTTCTAAGATTATCAAGATGTTTTAAGTTTTGGAGTCGCTGTAATGCTTTAGCTAATTAACCGAAGAATCATGTCCTTGTGGTTTTTCAAATGGGTTAACTTATACTTTCACGCACGGATTTTATCTTCACAAAAAACACATCCTTTTTCGCGTTTCTCTTTCTAAGAAACCCACCAATGCAGTTATTTGCTTTGAGGCAAAAAGGCTAGGACTTGTTTTCATGACAATTATATGCTATCTGCTTTTGTGAAGTTATTTGTTGTACATCCATCTGAAATGTTATTTACTTAATTGCACATGTTTAGAGATCAGAGGTTAAAATTCAACTTTCTTCATGGTTTGCATAAGAAAGTTACTGAAATCAAGTTCCTGAAAGAGCATTAGTTGAGTGGAAAGATCAAATAGCAACACTTCAAATTCTGCTGTATTATAAAGCTGTAATTGAGGGGGCCTTGTTTACTTTTATCCCTGCAGAATTGTGGGTGGGAATAGTTTCATTTTCTGCTTGTGTGTTATTCAATTGTTAATGGCCATTCATATTTCGTCTTCTGGTTTTGAAGCTAGTGATGTAGCACATTTTGTCTCTAGGACAAGTGATAGTGAAGAAATTTTTGTTCTTGTTAATGAACAAAACAATCTTTGCTGCATTGGTTTTTTAGATTGCCTATGTCTACTTGATTTGGATTTCTTCTGGTTTGAGGTTTTAGTGGGCTTAAGAAATTATCAGGATTAAACACATACAAAAACAGGAATTTTTCCTTTTACTTTTAGTTTGGTATCAAGTCCTTAGGTTTATTGAAAAAGATTGAAAGAAGTTGTTCGAAATATGTGAGTATGTGTCGGCTTCTAAATTCAATCACACTGTTTGTCTATCTTTGTAGGTTCTAAGGGGCACATTTGGGTAGAAGGAGATAACCTTATGTCCAGAGATTCAAGGAACATTGGAGATAACAAACACAATAAAGTAATTTTTTTGGTGTGTGGATGATGTTATTATCTCTCCCCCTTCCCTTTTTATCCATGTTTAATGCTCCAACTCCCTCCTCCTCCTCCTCCTACATTCCTGGTTTTTATGCCTCCCCCAGATTTTTTCACATGTTACAAGTACTGGGTTGCACTCCTTCAATTTCTTCTTCTCATAGCTCAACCCCAAGATTATTAGCTGCTACCAAGCTTAGACATATCTCATCTTATTCATCATCAAAAAATATTAGTTTTCATGAAAATCGCCATTGCCACCGATGCAACCACCCCACGGCACACATCTCATCCACTTCTGCTCCTTCGTCCTCTTTTGGCGATGAGGATGAGTTCGGGCCAGCCACGGACGAAGGAGATGATGATGATGATGATGAAGAAGAGGACGATGATGATGGGCATGTGTTTCCCCGGCACTATTTAGCATTCCCACAGCCACCACAACTCTCTTCAAATTTTACATCTTGTACTTCTTCTACGCCTCTGCCAGACCGCTGGGACGTCTTGGGTCTCGGCCAGGCCATGGTAAACCTTTCTTTTGCTCAATACTTAAATGCCCTTAAAGACATGTATAGAGTTATTTGCCTTTTTTGCTTTCAGTATTTAACTAATTTTGATTAGCTTACGATTTCTGGAGATCTTAGGGGAAGTCTTTCTTAAGAATCAGAAGAAGGTTGAATCAAGTATTTAGTACATTGCGTGTTTATTATCCTTGTGAACATGCCCTCCTTCCTTGATATTTTGCGTAATTACACGCTGACTCACACTGGGATATACAAAGGCAGTCATTGATGATAGTTTGGTTTTTTAAAATGTCTAGATGACTTGATGGCACAATCACAATCTCATTACTTATTGATTGCTGTTCATTGTGATTGGAGCCCCTACTTATCAAATTATGTTGGCAACTACCTACCCTCTTTACATGTATCTCGTGCTAATAAATTGTTCCTCGGTTAAATGTTGTTTCCTTCCTTTGATTTATTAGAAAGAGGTGACTGAAAGGAAATTCTTTGTATTGTGTGTATATATATGTAGTAGAAAGGAAAATTCATTGTATTGTATATTTTTCCTGAACGGTTGGCAGGTTGATTTTTCTGGGATGGTTGATGACGATTTCTTGGAGAGACTTGGACTTGAAAAGGGCACCAGGAAATTGGTGAATCATGAGGAACGGGGTCAAATTTTACGAGCGATGGATGGATGCAGCTACAAAGCTGCAGCTGGTGGATCACTTTCTAATACTCTAGTTGCCTTAGCTAGGCTTGGTGGACACTCAATTGGAGGCCCTCCTCTTAATATAGCTATGGCAGGCAGCGTTGGGACTGACCCACTTGGTGGATTTTACAGGTACGAATCCTCCTTTGTGTAGTAGTCTTCGCTTTCTTCTTCTTGTTTTCTTCTCTTTCTCTCTCTCTCTCTCTCTCTCTCTCTCTCTCTTTTCCTTTTTTTTTTTTTGGAGAATGTCTTTTTTCCTTTTTACTTGAACAGAGCAAGAGTTTCTGTGATGTATTATTGTGGAATATTATCTATTTTCATTTTGTCTTTCCGCCAACTTATTGTGAGCTACTGCTATGGATTAGGTCAAAACTGAAACGAGCTAATGTGAGCTTTCTGTCAACGCTAGTTGAGACAGGAACAACGGGAACAGTTATTGTTCTCACAACACCAGATGCACAGCGCACTATGCTTGCTCACCAGGTAACATGTACTATTTGACTTTAGATTTGCCTCCAGTGGCGCCTTTGTCGATTTTTGTGTTCAGGAGTACATAAAGAGATTATGAATATGAATTTTCTTTTTTCTTTTTTTTTTCATCTATATTTGCCTTCACCTTTATAATGATATGGAGACATGCTGGTAATTCAAGATTTAATTGGATAGACTTCTCTTTAGCTGTAACTTTACTTCATTAATTAATATGAATAACTTAAACATCTCTTTCTGTTTCTTCCATAGCCTGAGATAAGAGGTTCCCTTTTACATTACCTTCTGGAACATTTACCATAACTGGTAGATAGCAATTTGTTTTGAGTGGATATTTCGTTTGATTGTTTTTCTTTTGGTGATGTACCTGTGAATTACCACCATACTCAAACTTGTATCTGCTGTCACTATCAGTTATCCATGTTTATGTGACTTTCAGTGGATTGCATCCTTTGTTCTGTGTAAGTTGCATTTGATATTTTATTCCTAACTTGCCTCTGTTTTTTGACATCAGGGCACATCTTCTGCGATCAGCTATGATTCTAGTTTGGCCACTTCAATATGTAAAGCAAATATATTAGTTGTAGAAGGATATTTGTTTGAACTCCCTGATACAATCAAAACAATTACCAGAGCATGTGAGGATGCACGCAGATCAGGTGCTCTAGTTGCAGTGACCGCCTCAGATGTTTCTTGCATTGAGAGACACTATGATGACTTCTGGTGAGCTTAGAACTCATCCTAATAAGACTTAAAATTATCTCTCATTTGTGTTCAGTGTATCTTAAATTGGCACATTGAGATTTGGGGTGTGCCAGGGCACAAAAAAGGAGACAGAACTCAGCAATTTTTCTCTTTTGCTTTATGATGAGAAATAACATTATACACGTCAACTCATCAGTCCACACTAATTTGTTTTTTGAGAATGTGTATTCAGAACACATCCAAAATTTTTCTCCATCTCCTTATTTTAACTCTTGCAATATCCGTAGCCTACCATATGTTGTCTGTTTCTGACTACTATTTAAATTTGTGTGCAGGGATATCATGGCTAACTATGCGGACATAGTTTTTGCAAACACCGATGAAGCCAGGACACTTTGTGATTTCTCCGACAAGGAAAGCCCGGTATCAGCGACAAGATACTTAAGCCATTTTATACCACTAGTCTCAGTCACAGACGGAGCAAGAGGATCATACATAGGGGCAAAAGGGGAAGCTGTGTACATCCCCCCATCGCCATGTGTGCCAGTAGATACCTGTGGTGCAGGGGATGCTTACGCGTCTGGGATACTATATGGGGTGCTTAGGGGAGTATCTGATTTGAAAGGTTTGGGTGCCTTAGCCTCTAAAGTGGCCTCTGTAGTTGTAGGGCAACAGGGTACTAGACTTAGGGTACAAGATGCCGTTGCCATTGCCAAGAGTTTTACATGTTCAACTTCTTCTTCCATGAGTTCGGATGTTGGTTCCGATCAAATCTCAAGTTTGTAGCATTATCACACAATAGAAACCCATATTTTTTGTGTATTTATTTATACCACAAAACCACTGTACATATGCATTAGTTATGTATTAGTACTATTCTAGTGAGGCGAAATATTGCTCGATTAATTTTACGTCATAATACCTGAAAAAAATCACCAAATATAGATTGATGACAACTGGTTCATCCTTTTCTTTTTGCCCCAGGACTATATATGTGACTTCGTTTACATGAAACTCCTAATGCAGACATTTCGTAGTGCAGAGACTTTGTTTACTTACTATTGCAGAGATTTCCTCGTGTAATTCACAACAGCCCTTAATTGTTTTGAAAACTTACTGAAAGTTCCCTTATTGTTTGTTGTGGTTTAAAATGCCACGACGAATCTTCCTGTGTTTATTGAAAAGTTTAATGTGGATGGAGTCGATTGAATGTCATGCTCAAAAAGCGTAATATGAAGGAAACGAATATTTTCGTATTTGTTAGTAAGTGTAGTATAAAGAAAATGAATAAGGCTCTGTTTGATAAACTAATTAAGCACTTAAACTTATTAACTAAGTGTTTAATTGATTAGTACTGTTTGATAACACAATATCATAACAACTTAATTGTTTAAGAACTTAATTTATGAAGAACTTAAATTTTAAGTGCGTTTGATAACTCAAAGCAGGATGTCTTAATAAATTAAGTGGGTCTGAAATACTAGTATAAATACGAGCCTAAAAATAATTGATAGGCCTATCACTTATGTCTGAACTGAATTCTTAAGATGATTTTTTTCTATTTATTTATTTTTATGTTTATATTTTTGATATTTTATCTTGAAATATTTTTATTAATCATGATGTCTAGTTTAAATTAAAATTTATGTAAATTATTTTTTATTTAATAAATATTTATTTTTATATAAAAATTAAAATCCATTAAATTCCATAATCAATATATATTTACCATAAACTATGAATTTTTTTTTACAATGATACAATATGACATTATTATTAACTGAACAAATAATAGCATAATAAAATTTAAATATTTTTATTACATTATTTAATAATAATACTATTATTTTTATTATCATGGTTTCATACACATCAATTATTTTTTTAGATAAAATCATAAGTCGAGATACTTTAAATTTCAGTGTTCATATTTCAGATTTTAGACTTTTTATTTAGTGTTTAGATTTTGGTTTTTATTAAACACGACAAACTTAATCAGTTCAGTACTTATGATTCAATCTTCAGATTTCAGACTTCAGACCCAAATTAAGTTTTATCAAACGGGCCCTAACATTGAATCTCATGCTCAAAAAGCGTAATATGAAGAAAACGAATATTTTCGTGTTTGTTAATAGGTGTAATATAAAAAAAATAGAATACGGCTTCAACTAAAAATCTCAAAAAATGTAATATGAAGGAAATGAATACGTGATATTGTAATGACTAACTAGATGTTAAACCCGCGCGATGCGCGGGATTTATTTATATATATTATAAAAAATCTACAAAAAAAAATATGAAAAGTGAAAAATGAATTTTACTATTTTTATTTATAATCCATCAGTAATGTAGGTGTTTTGGAGTATATTTTTCTATCCAAAATTTTACTATCCAAAAGTGAAAATAAATAGAGATAAATTGGGATTGATGATAATTGATTATCCAAAATTTCAGTGATAAAGATAAAGTTTATAACAACTTTTGAGATATTATTAAGAAAAGATTATATTTATTTGGGTAAATATGATATTACACGATGCATTGGTTTGAAATTCAAAAGATAACATTTAATTATAGTTAAATCCCATCCTTTTAGTAATAATTGAAGGCAAGTTTTGTACCTTTTTTTTCTTTTTTATTGGTGAAAAATACATGGTCATGTTTTTGGGAGAAGATTTTAAAGATAACATTAATGTTGAATGATTGGTTTTTTTTTTTTTGAATTGTAGTCTATTGATTTACATGATTGGGAGAGAGATTTTTTTTAAAAAAATTAATTAAATGAGTCCAGTAGTAACTTTGGGGATTCTTTTGGGGAGGGAATAATTCTGGTACATTAATGTTCATTAATCCCGGCCATTAAATTTAATTAATTTTTATTTTCCTATTTTAAACTATAGTTTGAAATGCCATTTGATAAAACTTTATTTACATAAAATTTGAAGTACTATTAGTATAATTGTTGTAAATATTTTTTGACTCAACCATTAGAAAAATGACATATATGATTTTATCTTATGTGGCACCTTTAGAATTCTTTTTTATTTTCTCTCTCTGGTTTCTCTCTTAGTATAATATATTATAGGTGAGAACCATGGGTTCTCAGTTAGTTATACTCCTAAAATACCCTTTAAACATATTTTAAAATTTCCCTTTTTATAAATCCCTTCTTACTTTTTTTAATCATTTCCTAAAAATTACATTCCCTTTCTATATAGTATTGAATGCGGAGGAAAGCCTATTTTTGTAATAAAGGGAAATAAGAGAGGGTGTGCTAGTAAATGAGAATGCGAAATTAGCAACGGCTATTTCCCCATGTAGCCGTTTCTTATGATGACGTGGCAACCTGCACGCTCCTCTAGGCCTCCACTACCCCTCTTTCCCTCTTCACTTACTCATCGTTGAATTCCATCTCTCGGAGACTTCAGACCCAACAAAAAAAAAAGAAAATTAAAAAATAGAAATTGGAGCAAAGCATACAGCAGAAACAGCTTACTTTGTTTGCTTCATGATACTTGTGTTGGGCTTCTTCTTCTAGGGTTCATTGTCCTTTTCAGTTCAAGCTGCAAAAAAAAAAAAAAGTTCCCGATAAAATCAGCAAAAAATAATGAACATCTTCAAGAAGAAAACCTCACCGAAAGGTAATGTTAAATTTCATCTTGTTGGGTCTTTTTCATTTATTCTCTGTTGGGTCTTTTTTTTTTATGAGTTGATATTGCAATGTGAAGAGGATTAATTATTCATTATGATGCATTCTTTCCTGGGATGATTGGATTTCGTTGCTTACGATTGAAATTTTTTGTGTTGGGGCAGATGCTTTGAGGAGCAGCAAAAGGGAAATGGCTGTTGCCACAAGAGGTAATTTTTGGGTTCTCTTAGTACATTGTTACATTTGTGATTCGTGTTTCGGAATTTTCAATTGTTGCGTGTTCTCTCTCTGTGTAACTTGGTTCTAATGAATTTGGGGCAGAAAAGATGTGAACTTTTGTACTACTGGTCTAATCGTCGATGCAATATTTAGTTACTACGGTTTGCTTCTTTTACGGATTGTGGATATGGCTAAACTGGGGGAGTCTTCAGAGATCTTAATGTGGAAATTGGATCACACATTATGATGAGCAAAACTAGAACAGCAAGTATTGGTTCGTATATCTGTGAGAGGTACCTACTGGCTGAGGAAAAGAGGGGATTGTTGCATTTTGTTTATCAATGGAGGGCAAATGTTGCCACTCAGGGTACTTTATACTCTAAAAGGTGTTCACTTTCTGCTGAAAATGTGATTCTAGATGGATCTTATTAGTGACTAGTGAGAAACATCTTAAAAAATAATGCAATATACATTGTGGAAATTGAATAACTGAAACTGAAAAACACCCTGTTCTAGAGGGAATCAGGTTGACCCGTCTAGTTTGTATAATGAAACACCGTGGTCAATATATGATGAGGTGCATCGTATTGACTAGCTAAAGATACAGTCTTGTCATCTAACAAAATGGTGCACAGTCTTGAGTTTTAATTATCACGCAAAAGTCACTTGTATGAGCCGTAGTCATCTGTAGTCGACTGTAAAAGTCTCGTAACAAACAGCTTTAGAGTTGACATAAATGCTCAAGAGCTAAGAAAATTGTAGAAAGAGTGCCTGCGGGCCCCCCTCCTGTCTATCTTCAGTATCAGACCCTTTTTGCAACCCTGAACCCTAAAGTATTAGATCCATCATACTTGTAATAAACAGCTAGAATTCACTGTCTTGGTTTAGATGAAGAAACCTGAGTAATATGTTTGACCTCTTGAACAAGATTTAATCTGTTTGATTTGCTACCAAGCATCTTCGACATTTTGTTATTGGAGTCTTTTTTGTTTTTTTAATCAACTAGAGTCTTGTGTTTCCAATTTGATTGATCTTATGTCATGATTGTGGGAACATACACGATTTCTATTTGAATATCTCATCAATTGGGAAACAGGCTATGACTTTATTTTGGTGAAAGTCTCCTTCTGCTCGTAAAGGCAGGAACTTCATAAATTTCAGCTGCTTTTATTGGTTTGTATACAGACTGAAATTCATTTCAGTGAACAAAGGCATTCATTTCTATGAACTCTGCATAAGAGTAATGTAGTAATAGAAGATAGCTTGTTTTTAATCTCATTGTATCCGGGATTTCTTGTTTAAATATCAAACTTAGGAATTGAGGTTGTGGAGCCGAACCTCCTTATCAGTTGGAAAGTTTTCGAACCTTTTTTACTTAGCCCATTGCATGTGTATGTCATATACAGATCTGAATTGGATCCTAGCAACTTATTCAATTGGAATAAAGATTACCTGTAGATAAAAGAGTTGGCAATTCTTATGTTTGCTCGCCTTTTGTAGTGTGGGAAAACGTTGCATATCAAAATAGGTGTAGTAAACTGGGACGCTCTTGGGAACTTTAGAGGAGATCATGAGTGGTTTAATTTGGACAAGTAGGACTAGAAAAGAGGAAGTATTAATTTGAAATTCAACATTAGAAGTAAATAGATTTTGATTTAAACACTATATCGTTCATTTTCTGATGTGAATGTGAAATAACATTTATGTATTTGGTGCATTTCATGATAAAAAGCACTAAAAGAAACCCAGTGTGTGTGGATATTATATAAGAGCACCCAGGGCTTACTATGCAAAAGGCCCAGTTTAATAGGAATTAGAAAATCGGTTTGAACTTCTAGTGTTTATGTTGAAGCACCCTTTAGCAGAAATGTTTGTCGGTCCTTTTATCAGTATATGATGGCTGCATGATACCGACCATTTGAAAGATATAACCTCATTTTTAAAAAAAGATCACTTTCTTGAATTCTAATAAATAATAATAAGTGACTAGTCTGAGTAGTTGTTCCTATTCATCTAATGGAAAGTTTCAAACAAAGGAGCTCTGTCCTGGGCGGAAAAATTGTAATTGCATTCCCCTGTTTTGTCCATTTTCAATTTCAGTCCGCTTAAGAGTATGCTTTCCTCCTTAGTCTTTGCTGACCATTTGAACATGCATTCCTTATCTGTATCATATTTGTAATACAGTTGTTAGTCGATGACTTGGTAAATTCAATTTCGATTTCCAAACTCCCTAAAAACTTTAGATTAAAAACTTTAGAACCTCAATGATTAAGAGACCACACACACAACCTTAATGTCTGATATGTAATATACATGATAGCTTCATTTTTAACCTTTGTCCTTTATTTCCTTTTTTTTTTCCCTGTTTTCTTTTAACAGTAATGTGATTTTACCATTTTCAAAATCTTTGGTACATACTTGATTTGCATGCAAATATCCACTCCAGCTTGTCTTAGGAGTTTTATTTTTCTCAGCTTAGGTCTAGTGTTTCTAATGTGGTGGCTCATTTTTCATGGTGTTGGGAAGACTGCTGCTTGTTTGTTCTGTGTTGATTCGTGGGTGTCTGGCTATGACTTCATCTTGTTGAATGTTTTCTGCTGCTCATGAAATCAGGAACTGCCTAAATGTTGCTTGCTTTTTGTCTGTATGCATGGGAACAGAGTTCTCAGTAAATTATAGCCTTCATCTAGTTGAACTCTGTATGAAACAATACTGTAGTTTTAGGGAAGCAGAAGTAGCATGTGGCTTAGTATGTTTTGGAAAATCTTTTGTTTACTCTTTTTTTTTTTATATTTTTTTTAACATCCTTAGAACATGTCAAATCTATATTTGACTTGTGCAGCAGTGTTGGTTTAATTCCTCGTCACTGTAGTTAATTTGAATTAATATTTGTCTTTGAAAATCTGTTTTTTGCTTCCCTTTCGTAGAGCAGGAAAAATTTTACCATTAAAAACCAGAACTGCTTTTTCCTTTTCTTCCCTTTAAAAAGTGTTAATTGAACTCCTTAATGAATTATTGCTGTCGTAGGGCCATAGTTTATCATCTAGTGCAAGAAAATTAAAGTTCAATTGAAGGAATGAGGATAATCTGCCACTGCTAATTATAGGGAAGATATGCTTGTTGCTCTTGCTTTTTGTTGACTTTGTATGTTCTACTTGTGCAGGCATTGAACGGGAGATTGCATCTCTTCAGATGGAGGTATGGCCTCCTTTGCTACCTAATGTTACTATCTCACTACTATATAGTTTTTGCATGAATATATCCTTCTTGTATACAAATATACATGTGATATACCCATTGGTTGATGTTTTCCTCTGATTCCATTTTAGGAAAAGAAACTTGTCGCCGAGATAAAGAAAACGGCTAAAACTGGAAACGAGGCAAGTTTTCTCATTTGTACAGTGATTTATTTTGCACAGTGAGCTGGCATGGCATTTTCGCATAATGTAATGAATGCATGTTTGCTATGGATATTCTAACCTGTAATCTGACGACTTTAGTGTTGTTGCTTGGGAAGCTGAATTTATTAGCTTGCAAGTACAAAAATGACACTGCACTCAGCAAATGACCTCTGCTTTTTTCATTAAATTAGTGATTGGGATTAAAAATATCTAATGAAATTATAGTTATCGTTCAGGTTTTTTTTTTTTTTTTTTTCCGTTCTTTGTTTTTGTAATTGGGATGATTGTTTATGCCTTGAAGATAACCTTTACAGTTTTGTTATATATACGAGTAATTAAAGGGATCCAATTCAAGTAAATTTGAATTGCTTAATGTGTAACGGAAGTGATTTGACTGTTTTAGTATTCGAGAGAATTAGTTGACTTCAAAATCATGTGTGCCAAAGATTCTTTGTCCTTGGAAATGTTTTGTGGTGTATTTTATAAACCATCTTTTTAGTATCTTTTTTAACTCTTAAATCAGTATGTTTTTTCAGGCAGTATCATGGTTGACTTGCATTGTATTCTGTTTCTGTTCAAGTTATTATACTTGTACTTTAGCATCCAAATCAAAACCAAACAGCCAGAACCATTGTGTCATAATGTGTATGGCAATTAAATCGGTTAATTAATATATAACTGGCTGTGTGCTGGTCTTGTTCAGAAGCTTTTGTGTGGTTTCCTTGCTAATTTGAAAAAATGCAGAACATTGTAACTTATGCATATACAATAGATAGGAAGCTCCATACGCATGGTTTTGCGTTGGAAGTACATCCTCTGTCCCAGAATTATTTTCCAGTTTGGATTTTCATTGTTAGTACACTAAATTTATACTAAAAAGTGAAATCTCGAACTATACAATAATTTTGGGACGGAGGGAGCATTAGATTTATTTTCTTTATGCATGCCTGCCTATTCCTGATGTACGCTGTGTAATATATTGCAACACAAGCTTTGCGAATCGCTTGAGCACTGTACTTCTGTGTAGGACCATTTCTGTTTCTGGTCTCTTTTATTTGTCTTCAGTATAAACATATCATTCTGAACACTTAATCAAAACAATCTTCCTAAACCAGGCTGCTACCAAGATTCTGGCTCGTCAACTTGTTCGTCTGAGGCAACAAATAGTAAACTTGCAAGGAAGCCGTGCTCAGATCAGAGGCGTAGCTACCCATACTCAGGTCAGTATTCTTATATGGATACAAAACTTTTGTCAAGAAATTAATGCGATTGACTTCAAGCTCATGTTTATAACGCAGGCTCTATATGCCAGTACTTCAATTTCCACCGGGATGAAAGGTGCCACAAAAGCAATGACAGCAATGAATAAGGTATATGTCTGTGAGACTTTAAAAGCAATCAACTTTATGTTAAGATTGACTAGAGAGATGTCGTAACTGACCTTTAGTCTCAAATTCAAATTTAAGTGGGTGCTGACTATACTTTTAAATCAATCTTGTCTATAACTAATCTTCAGTTTGTGAAAATTGACATCTTAACCTTAGTTTTCGTACCTGCAACTCTGAGTATTGCTAGAACACTTTTTTCCTTGGTTAGTAAATAAATGGAAAAGATGCTAATCCCAAGAAAGGTACTGCTTTCTGCTTTACAGTCCTCAGTTTAGTATAAACATCTGGCGGTCACTTCTGTTATGTTGCTCATAGTAATCAATTCTACTTCCAGTTTTCATTTCTTCCAAATGCGAATATCAGCTGCAGAGGCAAATGACAAACATTGAGATTTTATTGTAGTCTGCTATATTCCCTTTTGCAAAATTGCTTCACTGTCGAATCATTATGCAGAGTGGAAATCCTTGTCGCCACCTCTCGTGAACTATTGTGAACTAGTTACGGAACAGTCTTTCTCGTACACTCATGAGCGCAAATTTCCAAAACTGCACTTGTCAGATTTAAGTACCTACTCCTTTTATAATTTTTTTCAATTTGATATGTGAAAATTCTGTTTTTGTTATCTAACCTACAGGAAATGAAACCCTCCAAACAAATTAAAGTGATCAAGGAGTTCCAGAAACAGTCATCACAATTGGATATGACGGTAAGCTCGAAATACTCTCATGATTTTCACAATTTCTTTAGTGATTTTATTTTTAGTAACTCTTTGTTAACATGAATAAAAAATACTTTTACCAAATGTAAATTCAACTCTTTCTGCATTCGTCTCTGGATTGGAGCTGATATCAGAACTTTGTGATGAATTCTTAGACGAAAAATGAGCTCTTGTGATTTTCACTATTGTTTCTGTACTTGTAATCTCGTAACATGAACAGGATAGTCTTGTACCATCTTTGAGATTCTCTTTTCCTTGTGTTTCTCTCTAGATTGAGATGATGTCCGAATCTATTGATGAAACGCTGGACAAAGATGAGGCAGAGGAAGAAACTGAGGAGCTCACGAACCAGGTAGGTTTCATTTAGAAAGGTTTTGGATTACTCTATTATTGTTATATAATATGACCTTAGCATCTCTAATTTTGGAAATTTCCATTTTCAGGTTCTTGATGAGATTGGTGTGGACATTGCCTCTCAGGTTGGTTCATTTCTTCATATTCTCCTTGTAGTGATTGTGCTCTATTTTACTTAGTGTTACTAATTAAGCTTCTGGTTCCCTTTTGCAGTTATCATCTGCTCCTAAAGGTCGGATTGCATCGAAGAAAGTTGACAACGCTGTCCCACCTAGGTATGAACTGGTTTGCTTCATGACTTATGCAAAAGCGAACATTTATTATGCATGCCTTTTTTTTTTGTTTGTTTGTTTTTTCCTGTGTTGCATCATTTGATTTGTTCTCCCCTGTTCCCAGAATAGAATTGTATGCTTTAAAAGTTTTGTATTGTCCTTAGTATTTTTGTTTGGGCCATGCATTAGTTTTGCAGTTTTAAAAACATTGCTGGGAAGTGTTTGGAAATCTTCTGCTGCTTTCATTTTGATTTAAATCATTTGGATTACTGAATTCATTCTGAAACATTTGTGAATCTTTTTGGGTTCTTGTGCAGTTCTCATACAGCTGATGTAGAGGATCTTGAGAAAAGGCTCGCCTCTCTGCGCCGAGATTGATTGAGAATAATGCATACTCGAGGGCCTGCTCCTGTAAAATATATCTTCTTATAGAATTAGTTACATGTATATTAGACGAACTTCGAAAACTAGTTACAACTTGCCTTCCTGTTACATGAACAATTCCTTTTGTATTCTATCTTAACGGTGACTGTTTCTCTTGGATCGAATGGTTCTGGATTGATGCATATATTAGTTGTGTTATTAAAAAAAAGGCCTTCCCAATCTAGCTAGTGGTTTTTTTAACTTAGAGAGGGGTCTTTAATGAGGGAAACTAATGTTTGGAATCACCTTCGACTCTATCTAGCTTAAAGAGTTGCAAGACAGTACACTGATTCCATTAATTATGCTATCTTGTTAGTTTCATGAACAATGAAGTTCTTAGGTGACTTATTGTAAGCTTGGGATGGCTGCTTATTATGCGCAGATTGATGTTAACAGAACATACACCGAGTGGTATACTTGTGGTATTAAAATGAAACGGAGGGAGTACTTTCAAATGGCCGCTTAATTGTGATCCGTTTCACTTGCTTTCTAGTCTTCACCTCCTTACCTGTTGTATTGGAACTACATTCACATAGAGGCATTCACTATAAAGGAAAAGGTCATTAAAAAATCTTCTTGAACAGCAAATACAATCAGGGATGAATGATTTGGAACTTTATACATGTAGGATTAAGTAGGAAGACACTTTCTGGTTTTCATTACATCAGATTTTAACAACGATCCTATCTGGCCCTGTCCTGTTTAGGCTAACCCTTCGCCTGCGCCGGTTGTAGCAGATTGGGGAAAATGCGGCTGCGAAAAACCAGTCAAATAGAAATATGATCAAAATGGTGATGCAAAATTCAATTGGAAATCCTATTAGAGCTCCTTCCCAAACACAATTTGACTCTTCAATGTCATTGTGACCTTCAATTGATGAAGATGGGATCTCCACTTGACGAGTCATCCGCATCTGCATCCCGCATAAGCCACTATTGTTTGCAAAATCGCTCGGATCATTCATTCTATCCATTTGGTTACTTGAGGGAATTGGACCTCAAGTTGGTTGTTACTAACATCTAAAGTTGTGAGTTGTTGCAGGTTTTTGAATGACGGTGGGATTGGACCAGAGAGATTATTGTGTGACAGGTCCAGACCCTCAAGATTCTCCAGCCCTCCAAAGCTGTATAGTATTTCTCCAGACACTTTGTTGAATGATATGTTCAATATTTTCAAGGCTTTGAGATTAATGTCGTTGGAATTTCACCTGAAAGTTGGTTCCTTGAGAGGTCCAGCAAAGAATTAGTATATTAGTGCGGTCTGGATCGGATGGGAGGGCTTGCAGTGATCTCTTCCAGTTTACAATTACAACAATGACATATGAGTAATCTTGAAATATTGTTGAATGAGTGGATTTACTATGGGCGTTTGAATCATTGCATTGAATCCCCAAGCTCCCTTGGGATGCTTCCTGTGAGGTTATTGTGCGACAGATGATGAATTTGTAGATCTCTCATTTTCGATATGTCCTGAAGTAGAGGACCTGTGAGGGATGTGTTTCTCAGGTTCAGAATCTTGAGTGTAGTAATTTCGGAGAGAAAAGTAGGAAATCCCCCTTCAATTTTAAGGTCATGAAGATCGAGGTGTTGAAGAGAGATCAAGTTGGTTAGATTTCGAGGTAATGGTCCAGAGAATTTGTTGCCTCCCAGAGAAAGAAAAGTGGTTTTATTAGAGAAGTTCACAGGAATGTTACCTGAAAACTCATTGGATGACAAATTGATAAGTGTGAGTTGATCACCAAATTTTGGAAAGGTGCCACTGTCACCAGAAAACCTGTTCTTTGACAAGTCCAATAGTTGCAGGCTTTCCAAATTAGACATGCAACCCGATATAGTCCCAGAGAAGTTGTTGCTTGCCAAACGAGAATCATTAGCCCGGGCGTATAACAAATGTCCTCTGGTAACTCCCCTGAGAAATTATTTTGTGATAGCTCCACAGTTTCCAAGAAATTCTTGAAGAGTCGAGGAGTGAACATAGTTGCAGAAGTAAAGAATTTTCATATTTTCAAAATATGCAGAGAATAAACAATGACAGAGGTAAGTTTTCTGCTTGAAACAACACACATACTTCATTCATTTCATTCATATTTATAATGCAAAACAAGTGAAACAACACACATACTTCATTCATTTCATTCATATTTATAATGCAAAACAAGTGCATACTGCACTCAAAGTCAACTAATAAATAGTAAAATATCTTAGCTTTTATCCCAAACAATTTCCACATAACAAGGATCACCATCCTTTTACCACTTGCATACTTCTTACAGAAGTTAAACAAACTACTGCAAGCAACTTACAACAACAAAGACATCATAAACATACCAAACACAACAAGACAAATCTGAAATCATTCAACAAGGAAAAATTCTCAAAAAACTAACACTCCTTGAGAATTTTCTTTGTACTCCAAGCCTTGATCTTAACACCTCAAACTTGCCTTTGGAAAGTGCCTTTGTTAAGATGTCGGCAACTTGATTCGCTGAGTAGCAATGCCTCAGGTTGATTACACCATTATTCACTGCTTCTCTAATGGCATGGAACCTCACATTAATGTGTTTGGTTCTTCCGAGTTGCACTGGATTTTCAACAATGTTAATTGTTGATTTGTTATCCACCCAAATTACGGTAGGATCTTCTTGATTATGCCATAAATCTGAAAGTAGTTTCCTCAACCAAATTGCTTGGTTGGCTACTGCTGCAGCAGAAACATACTCAGCTTCAGCTGAGGATTGAGCCACCACGTCTTGCTTCTTTGAATTCCATGGAAAAGCTCCACTTCCAAATTAGAATATATAACCCGAAGTACTTCTAAAATCATGAGCTCCGGTATAATCACTCTCGGAATATCCTTCAAGTTCCTTGCTTTTATTCTTGGAAAACCACATGCCATACTCATAAGTTCCTTTGATGTATCTTAAAATTCTCTTAGCAACACCATAATGGATTTGAGTAGGCGAATACATAAATCTTGAGAGTAAGCCAAGAGCAAACATCAAATCGGGCATTGTAGCACATAAGTAGAGCAAGCTGCCAATTAGGCTTCTATAGATAGAAGCATCTACCTTACGGCCTGCTTAGCTTCTCATTCACAACCAATGGCATTGCCATTGGTTTGCATCTCTCCATGTGAAATTTCTTCAAAACCTCCAAAGCGTATTTTTTTTGAGAGATGAAGATTTTATCTTCATATTAGTGAATTTCTATGGTCAAAAAATACTCATTTCTCCTAAATTGGACATCTCAAATTCTTTTTCCATCTGCAGCAAAAAAACTCCTCAAAACATTTGAATCACAACCTGCAACCAACAAATCATCAACATATAAAGAAATAATGAGCTGAACTTCTTCTCCATGCTTCAAAATATAGAGAGTAGCTTCACTTTGACTTCTTGTAAAGCCTTGCTGCAATAAATGGGCATCAGTTCTGCTGTACCAAGCGCGAGGCGCTTGCTTCAAGCGGTACAGAGTCTGATGAAGTTCGTAAACTTTGTTTTCAGCTATTGAAATTTGAAAACCTTCTGAATGCTCAACATAAACATCTTCCTTGAGAACACCATTTAGAAAAGCCGATTTCACATCAAGATGGTGAATTTTCCATCCCATCTTGGCTGTTAAAGCAATCAACAGCCTTAAAGTATCATGTCTGCCTACAGTAGCAAAAGTTTCTGAATAATCAACTCCATACTCCTAAAAATAGCCTTTTACAACCAGTTTGGCCTTACGTTTGTTCATAGAACCATCAGGATTATATTTGGTCCTGTAAATCCACTTAACACCAATAATTTTTTGGTTTTGAGGCCTATCTACGAGCTACCAAGTCCCATTTTTATTTATCATCTTCAATTCCTCCATCATTGCAGCCCTCTAACCAGCTTCACTGGCAGCTTCATCATAAGATTTTGGTTTCAACAATGCTACTTTACATCTCTCATAAATTTCAGCAAGGGACCTTGTTCCTCTTGTGGGAACATGATCAAAATTTTCAGCGCCAATTTCATCTTCTATATCTTCTTCAAATTGAGGTATGAATTCCCCAAGTTGATGAGCATCTTGAACCTCAATCTCAGCCTTTTCTCAGTCCCAAACAGCTGCTTCATCAAATCGAACATTTCTACTCACCACAACCGTTGAAGATTCTACAGCCCTTAGAGAAAGAGCTATATCCCAAGAACACTCCAATTTCAGATTTTGGATCCAACTTGTTCCTTTTCACATCTGGAACATGAGAGTAGCATACACTTCCAAATATTTTCAGGTGTTCCACAGTTGGTTTAACTCCAAACTATGCTTCATATGGAGTTTTATCTTTCACCGCCTTAGTTGGAAGTCTATACAGCAAATAGACTACCGTGTTGACAGCTTCCGTCCAAAAGCGTTTAGGCATCTTCTTCTCAAACAACAAGTATCTTATCATCTCCATAACAATCATGTTCTTCCTCTCACTCATGCCATTTTGTTGAGGAGAATAAGTGACAATGAGCTGATGTTGAATTCCAGATTCATCACAAAATTGCTGAAATTTGTTTGAAGTGAATTCAGTCTCGTTGTCCAATCTTATCACCTTGATGCTGCCGTTTGATTGATTTTCCACAAAAACTTTGAACTTCTGAAATAGATAAACCACTTCGGACTTTTGCTTCAAAAAATACACCCAACACATTCTTGTATAATCATCTATGAATAAGATGAAATATACACTTCCATTCAGTGATGGTGTCTTCATTGGTCCACGCACATCCTTGTGAACTAATTGCAGCTTTTCAGAAGCTTGCCAAGCTGAATTTACAGGAAATGGTAACCTACATTGCTTACCTAATTGACAAGCTTGACACATATTTTCTTCATTACAAATAATAGGAAGGCCTTTGGCCAACCCTTTGTGGTGCATGTGCATAAGTGGCTCATAGTGAAAATGGCCAAATCTTTTGTGCCATAATTCAAAATCATCAACCACAGCTTTAAGTGCATGCAAATTACTATCTTTCCACATAATTGGAAAGCTTTTGTTGACCACTTTTACTCGAATCAACTCACAACCAGCTCTAGCAAAAATAATGCATGACTTATTTTTAAAATGCAAAGAGAAATCATTCTCAAGCATTTGGCCAACACTCAGCAAACTTTGATCAATTTCAGGTACAAATAAAACATCTGAAATGTATTTCGTACCCGAGGGAGATTCAACCACCACAACTCCTTTCCCTTCAATGTCAACTAAGTCTCCATTTCCAATCCTCACGTTTGACTTGTATGACTAATCTAGCTCCTTTAATTTGCTAAGTTCATGAGTCATGTGGTTTGTACAACCACTGTCAATAAGCCACATATCATCCAAGCTGTTTGTTACAAGATTTGTAACCATAAATAGCTGCTCCTCTTGTTGTTGATTTTCAACAACTTTTGCCTGCTGCCCTTGATCTTGTTGCCTTTGCTGGTTTTTGTTTTTACAAACCTTTTGCACATGTCCATATTGCTTGCATGATTGACACTGCACTCTAGGCCTGAACCAGCAAAAACTTTCAGAATGGCTGGTTTTCTTGCTGTGAGGGCATGGTGGATATTTCCTTTTGCTTTCACTTTTAGAGTTTTGGCCATCCATCTTCTCCTTTCCTTTCGTCTCACCAAGTTGCTTCTTCTATCCTTGAAAAACTTTCTATTTTGCGAACAAAGCTTCTTTGCTGCTACTTTCTTGCCTCATTGATCTCTTTTGTTCTTGAGCTTGAAAAGAATGAACAAGCTCCACCAAGGACATCTTGGTTAAGTCTTTTGCGTCTTCAAGAGAAGAGATCTTAGAGTCAAATCTTTCGGGCAAGCTCACCAGTACTTTTTGTACAACCCTCTGATCAGTCAAGTCTTCTCCAAGAAGTCTGATTTTGTTAACAACCTCCATGAGCCTATCAACATACTCTTTGATGGACTCATTGTCTTTCATCCTCAGAACTTCAAATTCTCTCTTCAAATTGAGAATTTGCATCTGCCTTGTTCTATCACTCCCCATATACATCTCTTTGAGCTTATCCCAAGCTTCTTTTGGAGTTTCACAAGCCATAATTCTTGTGAAAATTGTATCTGAAACAACAGCATGAATGAAAGACAAAGCTCTTTGAGCTTTGGCTGCTTCTTCTTCATGAGCTCTAATTTGGTTGAGAGTTGGATTGTTTCCCAAAGGAGGTACTTCCTTATCCGTCTCAACCCACTGCCACAAACCGAGACCTCTCAAGTGACCTTTCATCTTGACGGCCCACACTTGATAGTTCTCACCATTAAAGGTTGGGGGTGAAAGATTAGAAAAACTGCTTGTAGCCGTAAGAAACTGAAAAGAATATTTGGTTTTGTGAAGGGAGCCTGACTTGTTTTCTCTCAAACTCTCACAAGTCTTTTAAGATCTTTCAAGCTCTTGATACCATGAACATAGTTGCAGAAGTAAAGAATTTTCATATTTTCAAAATATGCAGAGAATAAACAAGGACAGAGGTAAGTTTTCTACTTGAAACAACAAACATACTTCATTCATTTCATTCATATTTATAATACAAAACAAGTGCATACTGCACCTAAAGTCAACTAATAAACAGTAACATATCTTGGCTTCTATCCCAAACAATTTCCACATAACCCATCCTTTTGCCACTTGCAAACTTCTTACAGAAGTTAAACAAACTACTGCAAGCAACTTACAGCAACAAAGACATCATAAACATATCAAACACAACAAGACAAATCTGAAATCATTCAACAAGGAAAAATTCTCAGAAAACTAACAAGGAGGGAGAGAACCCGTGAAGTTGTTATCTGTGAGAACAAGAAAGATCACGGGGATTTCCGCTAGCCAAAGTGGATATATTCCTTGAAGTTTATTCATGCTCAAATCCAGGAGGGAGAGACCTTTCTGGGATCAAATCCACCGCAGCACTTCCCCTGTTAAATCACATGATCTCAAGAGAGAGATTGAAATACTTGCACTGGGGTAATATTGCTGAGTTGTTCTGATTCCAAGTCAATTGATTCCCTCCAAATAACAACTCCTGGAGTGTCTCAATATCGAATAGCCAAGATGGTATTTCTCCAGTGAGCATGTTGTCTTCTAGATCAATAAATTCCAATGTAGTTGGGTTCTGCATGGCCAAAGGAATTGCACCAGTGAACCTGTTGTTAGTTAAATCCAACCCATACATATTTTCCAAGTACAAGATGTCTTTTGGAATTTGAAGTGACAGTTGATTGTCACCTAGGAACAATGTTTGAAGTTGTGTAAAGTTGGAAATTGATGACGGGATTCCACCGGTTAACTTGTTCTTCATGAAATCCAAAGTTAAAAGATTAGACAAGCACCCGATATCTGTTGGAATTTGTAGTGTCAACTGATTATAACTCAAATCCAGGACTTGAAGTTGGGTCAAGTTGGACAATGAAGGTGGAATTCGACCAGTGAACTTGTTCTCACTCAAATACAAAGTTGATAAACTAGACAAGTGCCCAATATAATTTGGAATCTGTGGTGACAATTGATTATGGCCTAGATCCAGGTACTGAAGCTGTGTCAAACTGAAAAGTGACAATGTGATTCCTCCAGAGAAGCCACTGTCGCGAAGGTTGAGGTATCGCAACTTGGTGAGGTTTCCAATCTCCTCAGGGATGTTCCCACCAAATGAATTTCCTCCCAAACCTAAGGCGACAAGATTTCTCAGGTTTCCAATTTCAGGACTCAAAGGACCAGCAAGAGAGTTACCAGTTAAGCTATGATAACTAAGGTTTCTCAACTGATAAATATGTAAGAGAATGGTGCCATTGGAGAAAGTACCCCTCATCCCAAGATAGACCACTTTGGTGAGATTAGCCAACCCTTCACCTGGAATTTCACTAAAGAAGTGTCGGAAACATTGAGTAAAGTTAGAGAAGTTATACCGAAAAGAGGAGTCAGTCAAGGTAGAGGAAGAAACTTTCCAGAAGTCGACATAGTGTCCCTCAAGTAGCGAATTAAGGTACAATTTGACCACCATGAATGGCCTTGTCGAAAAGCAATTGACTCTTTGCCACAGGCAACAATCGGAAGTTGAACTCCATGTTGCTAATCGAGAGGACGTGAGTTTGTAATCATCGGCCTTCCACTATGCTAATATCTCGGAAGTGTACATTTCCGCACCCGATGTTGAAAAATCAGTGATTATAATTGAGGAAGAGGGACTTGAATTGGAGAAGAGCTTGCTTTTGATGATCCGGACAAGAAAAGGATGAAGAGGAAAAGAGTGGAATGAAGAAGGTAAAGATCAATGGCAACAAGCACTTGAACTTTGCAGCCATGAACATGTATATTAGTATTATGGTTGATTTTCAAACCTCAGTTATTCAAACTAACCTCTTTTAGTAGGGAGCATCTGTTGGAATGAAAAGAACGAACACAAGAACAATATATATACTAGGAGTTCTGGCTTCAAAGGAATATAATCTTTCTGTTCCATATTGATTGTTTGCATACATATTTTACACTTTCAAACAATAAATATAATGATCATTTTGGGACGAGAAGTGCTAAAAATAGAGAAAAAAAATAAACAATCGCGGATGAGAAAGAATTAGTTAGATTTTGTAATATAGTTTACCGGTCCATTGGGTCATTCAGATTAAGAATTTCCCTATACATTTCCCTTTTATTTACTTCTAAAATGTGCCTTTCACTAACGTAATCAGCTTAATTATCCACTAATTATAAATCAAATATCTGCGACCAACTCATAATGAGAGCTAGCAAAAACATTTGACATCATCCATTATTCTGGTATATTTTTCCACAATTCTTCTCTATAACAATTAGCGAATAATGTTTTTCATTATTAAACTTCCCTGTCCAAAATAATAAAAACCTTATTTGTTGAATCAAAGTTTGAGTTTTTCTTTTTTTTTTTCCTTTTTCCCAAGGGCGGCTCAAGGTTTTTGAGGGCTTAAGGCAAATTATGAAATCGAGGCCTTTTGATAACCCTCCTTATTTTTTCGGGTTTGAGACGGGTACCTATAAACCCATTAGCCTATAGCAACTGGACTTAAAATTTTTTTTTTATTCCAAATATGATTCATATTAAGTTTATCTTTCTAGCATTTTTTAAAATATTGTGTTTATTAAGTTTATTTTTCTAACTACTTTGGTCGCTAATTCTTTCATAAAATTTTCATGATCTATCTCTTCGACTAAGTCTTTTTCTATTGATATAATAGTCAATCCATTTAATCTGTCTTGTGAAATTTTTGATCTTAAGTAATTTTTTATTAAATTAAGTTTTGAGAAATTACTTTCTGTTGAATCAACTGTTGCGTGAATAGTTAACATTATCCTACATGCAATACAAATATTTAGAAAAGAATTTATTGCTTTTAATATAATTAAGTATGTCAACTGGATTATAATACTTAGCATTTATATTTTTTCTTAAAATTTTAGTTCATAAATTAAATCTAACCGCTAATATTTAAACTATCATTGTTTTTAACATGTTTCGAAGGTTAAAACAACGCTTTTCTAAAATTTTTGTCATCAAGTGATTTTAATTTTTCCAACTGAATAGAAAACCACAAAAAAAAAAAAAATCATACATTTTAAAATTTACAAATCAACTTTGTAGTGATGAGATAGCTCTATTAACTATTTAAAGAAAATAATTAATTTTAAAAATATTTTGAGGGATTCTAATAGTTTCATTCTCTACGTTTCCATCAGACTTTGTAATTCTATGAATTTTACTTTTTTTCTTCACCTTTAGGTTCTATGTCCATCTTGACACCAATTTCATGGTTGAAGTTATAGCATTTTCTAATCCATATTCTCTGTATTTTTCAAAAAAAGTAATGAGACATTTTAATTATTCTATAAAATAAAGAAAGTCATATATGAATGTCGAGTAGTCAATTTTTTATTTTTATTTTTTTTATAATTGGTCAATATTTATTAGTACTAAAATTTTCCAATATATACACACACACGCGCACACACACACACACACACATACACGCACACACACACACACACAGATATATATATATATATACACACACCGTGGCCCCCCAATTCTGAGGCCTTAGTCGATGGCCTATTTTGCCTAATGAGAGAGCCGCCCTGTGTTTCCGTGTATGGTTTGCTAATGCACATGTTGATATCCACTCATCTTCCACCTCCCCGCTACCTGAGAAGCATGATTCGATCCATTCCAAAGATTAAAAGAAAAAAAAAGATTCAAAATTCATGCTATGCATATCTGAGTTAGCATTCAATAACTCATTTTATTTTTATTTTTTATAAAAAAAAACTATATAGATCCAAGTCAACATTGAAAAAGAAATAATAATAAAACAGTAACAACAAGATAATACAACCTATAGAAAGCCTAAGTGGGATCATAGTGGACACTATGATCCTCTACTCCAGACCGTTTGCATCTTGATTTCTCAATCTCATGCGAAGTAGCTTTCCTTTTCTCCCCAGAAAGGTTTTTAGTAGGCTTTATACCTAAAGCCTTAACCCCTTCCCAAGCTCCTATGGCCCCCTGCCCTTCTTTGTCGATAAAGTAGGTCAAATTTTGCTCCACAACATATCACAAATTATAGCAAAACAATTGACCCTCAATCACAAATAGTTACAAAAGAGGCATCAAGGAATGCATGAGCTTACCAAAGACAAAAGAAAAAAGAAAGGAAGACGAAATCTCCAACTTCATAATCTTGTGTCCGGTCCCCACAGTACCTCACTTTAATGCCTTAAAAGTCTCATAAAACTCAAAGATCTCACTAAGGTTTTCTTTGGTGAGATCGGTAGTAAACAAGTCGGTCTTTATTAATCTATTTTTCTTCTCTTCACCTTATTCAACCATCAGAAAAGCCTAAACAAGAGACATATCATATTAAAAATTATATCATATTAAATATTTTGTTAAGATTTTCAAAATAAGACCCATATTGAATATAAATTTTTATTTTTTAAAAAATACATTTTAGTTATTATTAAAATTGAATATGAAAAAAGAAGTAAAAGAATTTGATACTTCTACAACCAAATAAAAAGCGAGTACATGGAACAAATTTTACAAAATTATCACCAAATTACATGATTTTAGTTAAATACAAAAATAAAATTTAAACTAAAACATTTAATAGGTAGACATCTTATTGCATCATTGTTGGAGTGTAAAGAACTTTGGTGTAAAAAGATACTTAAAATATTCTATTTGTATACTAAATTTGGTGTAAATTATAATGCAATGGTTGGAGATGCTTTTATCGATCAATTCAGTAACTATTCAATGCACTGAATGTGTTTGGGAAGAGGTGTAACGTTGGGCTGCTTTTATTTTAAAATGATTTTAGATAGTACCAAGAATAATTTTATAAAACCCGGTCCATTCAAGCACAGGTCAACTCACTCAACTCATATGAAATTGCGGTTTGCCCATGCCCTGTATTGATTAAAATCAAGATGTTTAGGGTATGTTTGTTTCATTTTTTTAGTGTGAGTTTTTAGGTATTTTTTGTATTGGAAATGTAAAAAGGTGTATTGGAAATGTAAAAAGGTATACTGGGATGGAACAGTTATTATTTAAATATTTTGAAAATACCATAAAAAAAACCTAACAAACAAAGTCTTAGTTTTGCAAATAAAATTATCCCTCAAACATGACAAAAGATCTTCATCAAAGTCACATTTGATGTCACACAAGTTAGATAATTGACATGTACCTGACATCAACCATTTAACTAGTATCTACCTATATAAAAGGCTGGAATGGCATGGTATGGTGACAGTTGCCGGTGCCTTTTCTATGAGCGTCGTTGGCCGATTGGATAAGCTGATATTCTGCTCTTTGCGGCGTCTCAGTCCGTTTCCTGTATTTCTCGGTTGCCGGTGATGGTTCAAATGGTGCCCCCCCTCTCTCCTGCCAAACCTTTCTCCGGTTTCTTTTCCAAATCTCTCTCCTCAACTCACTGGCAAAAAGAAGGTTCTCTCATCAAAGAAAGGCAGATTGACGCCACGGGGCGCCGAGTTTATGCTGTAGTTTGTTTTTTTTTTCTTTGATGATTTGTTTTTTTTTTTTTGGGAAATACTATCTTTGATGATTGGCATGAAACAAAATTGTGTTGAGATAAGATGAAATATTGCTTGACTTCATATAGATATGTGCATAATAAAATTTACCTTGCCATTTGAGTTTCTAATGCCAATTGCTATACATGCCAATTATTCTTTCTTACCTACATTCAGGTGTTCGATAAAATTCTCAAGAGAAGTGTTCTTAATTTGTTGAAACATAAGTGGGTAATAAGTTTTAATTCCCAGCACTTTCCGTTAATGAACAATGATTGAGCTTTACAGGTCGAGGACAAAGCCTTACACACACGAAAAGATACAGGTATTTGGATGTGTCTTTGTTATTCTTCTCCAATCTCTATGCATAATTTTTGGAGAGACTGCTCAATTGTTCTTGGCAAAAGTTAAAGTGATGAGTAGTATTCTTTAGATAATGAACGAAAGGGGTGATCATTTCTTTCTTTTGGTGGTGGGGGAGGATAGAACTTTGGTCAGTAGCTAGATCAGCTTTGGTTGATTATGTGGTGAGATGCGTTTTTCATGTTTTTTTTTTTGGAAGTAGTGGAGAGATGCTTTAAAGTGATCAGATTTGGTAGATTGGTTCCACACTTCTCGCATAATGACACCTGATGTGATTTGCCATGATGTGTGCTAATAAGAATTTCAAAGGTTGTCATAATGCAGTTCCACTGCTTAAATGTGCACTGCTTTAGTTATTGTTTCCTTCAGTGTCAACCGATTTTGCCCTTATTTCCATTTGCATTGCAGCCAGCTTTTAGGGCCAAGGTTGCAGCTCCATCCGGATCAGAACCAGAATAATAAAGGTGCAAATTGATCTCACTATCATCAAATTTACTTGTCAACCTCGTGCATAAAGTTGAGCTCCCAGCTTCTAATTTTCAAACCTTCTTTCTACTTCATAGAAAACCTCCCACCTCCTAGAACTTTTCTCCTAGAACTTTCCTCCTGTCTCGTTCTCATTAACATCTCCGCTTTGACTAATTTATACTTCTTTGTTGTGGCAGAGGTTGTTGAAGCTAAGTTTAGGGAAGTTATGACGACGTACAAAGCTATCAAGGAGAAAGAAAGCTACAATAAGGTGTGTTCATCAAACATTAAAGGAGTTTTGTATATTCTGTTGGGTTTCCCGTTGGGATAGTAAATGTGAGATTCATTGGAGTTACAGTATGCACAATATGCGAGAATAAAAGGCTACTGATAAATATCCGTTATGCAGCCATGAAGTACCATTGTTTAGTCAGAGGAATTCTTGTTTTAAGTCATTTTCGGTAAATATGGTTGCTTTGCCGTTGTTTGAAAATGGTGCTTCAGATATATACAACAGTATAGCCGCAGTCATGGCTACTGGAGCCAATTGAAGAGGTATATGAAATAGTTGTATTGAATAGAGTGATTATGTGACACCCTTAGATACCCTCTGTTCTGGCCGCACCCAGGGAAGAAAACGGGAAAAGAAGTGACAATAATTGGAGCTGCTTTCAAGTCGGCAAGAAAATGACTTACCAATACCATCTTCAGAACCAACTTAAACAATAAGTGCTAACATCATATAGGCATTGATGAGCATATTGTTAGAGCTGAAATTTGAAACTTCACCATGATACTCAAGTCCTAAGAACTGAAGAGTTACGGAGAATGAGCAATCACTATGATTTGGAAGCTGTTTCTTTTATTACGGAATGATCTTTCACTTTCAATGAGTTTGCGTTCTCACTAATAAGGTCACGGTACATTTGTAATATATATTCCATGTAATGTATTTGTACCATAATGCAATCTAAGTAGTTTACAAATTTTTATTTTAATTTGATTTTAACAAATCCTTTTAAACTTCACCACGGGTTTATATCTCCGCACCTTGTGCGGTCACTGTCAACCTAGTTATTAAGTGAAACACAAAGTGTCATAGAAGCCCTGGTGGCAACCTCAACAAAAGTCCCATAAAAAAATTTATAACATTTTAATATTAGTCAACCACTTCGAAATACAATTTTATACTCTTAACCTGCTTGAAAATTAGTTAGTCGGCAGGATCCAAACAACAAAACTAATCGGCATCTCTAATCTTCTCGCAACATCGATAACCACCTTCATCACTGTAATTGTTTTTTCATTTTCATCTCCACTTTCTATCATTACCATTCTCTATTCAGCACGCGTACTTAGAAATGTTTGCTTTTTGACAATTTCGAATCTAATAGTGAAAATTAAACTAGATGTGGATGGGGAATTTTAGAAGTTACAGTGGAAACTCCATCAAAATAGATTTCTCAACCCCTGATGGATGAACAAATACACAACACAATGGTAATCAAACAAGATTCAGATATCCAAAAAAAGAAAAGAAAAAAGAAGTCAACGTTTCTCCCATGATGCCGATACCATGAAAAATAAACCGCCTTCGGCCTTTTCCCTAAATACATTTACGTCACTAGATAAATCTTTATCTCACCAATCGAGTTAAATGTTTGATTATAATATATAATTACATGTGATGACGGGCTAAATCTGTTTTGACATCTCGAAATTGGTTTTACTTTTCTTTAATCAAATTAATATATGAAATGGGACCACTGTTTTGTTTGGGACGGAAGAAATATTTATGTATCTTTTTCAAAATTTCATATTGATTTCGGCCGGGTTCCAACCTGATCAACTCAATAACCTAGTGAAGCCATCGGTTCACCCCTCCGGTCCGGTCTCACTCCTCACTCTCCGCCGCGCCTCCTTTTTCTCTCAGTCTACTCTTAGCCACCAACCACCGCCATCACATTACTATCCTTCCTCTCATAATTTGTTTATTTACTGTATTTAGTTTTGTTGTAAAAAAGCCTACCGGCTTAATTTGTCTCCGGCGTAGTGAAGAAGACGGAAGAGTACAGGGAAATCTAATCTGATTAGGTGGTTTTTTTTTTTTTTTTGGGGGTGTCTGTAGCTTCTAAAGTATGGATGATCAGCTCCAATCATTACACGGATCATCCATCTGTCCAAGCTCCCTTGAGTCCCTTGCTATAGTAATTGATCGAAATGAAAAGCGAACGAAATGGGGGCTCTCATTTTTGAGTTTTGCCTTGAAACTTTCCGCATAAGAATAGGCTCAACGAGCCTGGAAGGTAAATTGAGGGACTCAGGTGGACCTTGGTCATGCCATCTCTTGGACTGAATTGTGGAAAGGATTGTATTTTGGATTGTATGTTGATACTCTGACTCGCCGTCAACAAATTATGTGGATTCGTCCAGCCTCAGCCTGAATCGAAGAAAACCGGATCAACAAATTCTATCTTTTTTCTCATCTTTTGGATCTGCATAGATCAATCTATGGCATTCGTATTTTACAAATTCTGACAACAGAATGAATTATTATTGAAAACAAGAATTCGTTGGTTATTGTCATTGAGTTCAAATATATAACTAGCCACTTAGTAGCCTCTGAACAAAAATGTTTCTTAATTGCAACAGAGTGAAGACTAATTAGATGATAATTTCTCTCTCTCATTGATAGACCCTGCCATGGTGCTCTGTATTTAGATCCCTCAATTATTCAATACGTTACATGTTAGATCGATAAACACGGATTCTTTGAGGTTTTGTTTCTCATGTCTACAATGTCACTTTTCATAGCATCCAACACACTTGTAGTTCTTTAGTAGTAACAATTTTTCAAGTGTTGAAAAGAAATCCAGCAACTGATAAGCCAGAGAAATGATGTCTTGTAAGTGAAGGATTAGCCCGTCTCCAGAAGCTGGTGAGTTAGTAGTACTAGTAGGAATATTATCTTGATCCGAAACACCGGTGATGGGGATCTTTCACCACCGTGGCAATTTGTATTCACATGTGTCTCATCGTCTTTTTCAGCCGGAAGTTTGCCCAAAAAAATTAAAGGTATAGATTCAACCTTCCTTTGCGATGGCGGAAATGAGAGCGGCTCTTGTGAAAAAACCTCCGGTTAGCTTTTTGTTTTTTCTTAAAAAAAGAAGAAGAAAAATATAGGGTGGCTTGATGTTAAATTAATTTTAAATCAGGGATAAGAATGGAAGTTTAAAGGATTAAATAAATTGTACCTCGCTTAAATTGACTAAATTAAAAAAGTTGTATATTTTGAAACTGGACTATTTTTGTGCGACAGAGAGATGAAGTATTTGTATTAAGCCATAGAGTGCATTTCACTGCACTTCATTCCTACTTACCTTACGGAACCTATAATTAAAACTCTAACTCAGTTCCAGTAAACCTAAAATGACTTTTGATCCTCTACCAGAAAGCTTTGATGACCTTGACCCATTGTTAGGACTTCACAATCAAGTATTAATGTTTTGTTTTTTTTTTTTAAATAATAATAAAAACCACCTCCGTGGTTATAAATGTGAGAAAACTTGCAATTACCCCAAATGAAATTTTATCTCTAAACCTTCGAAAGATCCACTTAGAATCTTATCACCACCTGAAAACCTCGTTCGCAATCTGCTCTGACTTGCATTACCGTCTTGTATATGTGCTCTGACTTGCATTACCGTATATCAATCATTAATTATTATTTATTGTTGTGATCTCTTAAGTTTCTTTACATGGAGGATTCCATGATGTCACTCACATGTTCCTACTTTTTCTTCCCGAATTCAATTAGTGCTTAAAATTGATCTCTAGATCTTTATTTAACTAGTACGTTTTTTCATATGTCCAGAGCAAGATGTGACAAATGTCCTGATGGTATTTTAATACCCGTTATTAAACCTATACATAAAAAAAGCACCTTTGTATATATAGCATTGAGTTTCAAAACAGTATCTTCATGACACATAGATTCAAATTTTGTAAAGGGAAAAAAGTGCTTTCACAAATAGTACAGTGTCCGTTCTAAACATGACTTAGTTTTAAGAAGACACAGTAATCCGTTATTTGTTTATGATCATAAAAAGAAGCATTTGGATGGTGAAGAAATGAAATTTTGAGACTGAAATAATATTACTCATTCAAGAAAATAATAGTATAGGCATTCTATAGTTGGGTAGTAGTAAAGGGGACCAATTTTTTTTTAACAAATGTGGAAGCTATTAAAACGAAAGGAGCAAACGTACTAAGGATCCAGATAACAAGGACTAAAAGTGCAATTTCCAAAGCCGCTTCCTAACTTTATATTGCCCAACCTCCACGACAGATTAACTTCCTAGGTAAGTCGACTAATCCCCTAACTGGTTGCGCACGAAACTGTACTATTAAACCCTCTTCCGAGGAGACATAAACACAAACATCTCAAGGGCGAAAACATCAGGTGGTCTGAAAATCAGAGGTTTCTTTTGATCGGAGAAGAGACATGGCAAGAGATAGCTGTTTGGCGAGAGTCGCAGCCGGCGGTGCAATTGGCGGCGCTATTGGCGGAGCCGTTGGTGCCGTTTACGGAACTTATGAGGCGGTCAGATACAAGGTGCCCGGTCTTCTTAAAATCCGGCATATTGGACAAACAACGCTCGGAAGTGCTGCCCTGTTTGGTCTTTTCTTGAGCGCTGGAAGCTTAATCCATTGTGGAAAGTCGTACTGATAAGCTTCTTTTAAATCCCTTGTATCTTTTGAAAGGTTTGTTACCTAATTTTCAAAGGATATTTGCTTAGTCTTTATCTTCTGCAGTAACAGCTAAATTTTGATTTTACTTTTTTTCCTGCTATTTTCCATGTATGGATTTGGGAATTATTGTTCCAGAATCGGCTTCCCCTGATAAGATGTGCGTTTGGTGTTTGATTAAATGTCTGACAGACGCTTGTTGAAAATTACTCTTTGTATGGTTTATGTTGCTTTTACTCCCCCGGTCATATATCCTATCTCGTATGGTTTTGCTCTGATTTCTTTTTATCAGTGATGAGCATTTCTAATTGGTGTCGCTACACCTCCAATTAATATTATAGTTAAGGCCCTGTTTCCTAATTGGTGGATATTTTGGGGGATTTCTTTGGTTAGTGAAAAAGAAAGTCAGAATTTACAACTGAAATCATTTGAGTTTCATTTCCGTTTGGAATAATTGTTATCAGCGAGCATTGAATGATCATGAGCAAAATGAAATTACAATTCACTTTTTCACCACTTGTTCGTTCAATTAGTTTTAGTCTTCCTGCTTTGCTGTTTGAATGTGCATTGTTCTTCTCATATTTCGGTGCTTTTACTCCCCCGGTCATGTATCCTATCTCATATGGTTGTGCTCTGATTTCTTTTTATCAGTGATGAGCATTTCTAATTGGTGTCGCTATACCTCCAATTAATATTATAGTTAAGGCCCTGTTTCCTAATTGGTGGATATTTTGGGGGATTTCTTTGGTTAGTGAAAAAGAAAGTCAGAATTTACAACTGAAATCATTTGAGTTTCACTTCTGTTTGGGATAATTGTTATCAGCGAGCATTGCATGATCATGAGCAAAATGAAATTACAATTCACTTTTTCACCACTTGTTCGTTCAATTAGTTTTAGTCTTCCTGCTTTGCTGCTTGAATGTGCATTGTTCTTCTCATATTTCGGTGGTGAAAAGTGGGATGCTTTGTTCATGCCTGAAGAAGTTATCAGGATCAACTTTTGTCTTCACAAGTACTAGTCTGTTGAAGTTGTTTTGGAAGTACTTTTTGCCCCAGTTACTTGCATCTGTAAAACTAGTTTTGCCAGTGAGATTGTTGACACCCAAATCTAGATCTCTGTAGTTTGCATAAGCTGCTCTCGGGAACTTGGAAACGTAAGGTGTCATGAAATTGTACAACTCCCTTAGCCAATCAATGTGATGTGCTATGCTGCCTTTTGTGCCTTCATTTTGCCACTCTGCTAGCCACTGTATCATGAACTTAGTGCCATTTCTGTGGGGAAAGGGGATTTCGGATTCTGAAATTTTATTCATCATACCGCCGTAAGGTGTCCACACAACTAAAGGGGAGTCTTGCTCTAATAACCTCTTCCATATTCCTTCCAGTGCATAGGCTGGAATTGGCTCTTTGACGAAGTCGGACTTAGCTTTGAAACTGAACTTGTTAAAAAATGATCTCCCTTGTAGTAAAAATTCAGGAGGTACATTTCTTGCGTAGCGGGCAATGTATATCACTGACTCAATCCAGCTCATTTCAATACAGTCCTCCTTGGTTAATCCCAATTCAGGGAAGCTTTTCTTCATTACCTTTAGGAGACTGTCAGCTTTTCCAAGATATAAAGCTTGATAGGCAGTTTGTATAGTCTGTTTTCCCGCTTGAGAAGTTGCATTTACTTTCTTCACGAGGACTCTGATGAAGAGATCTTCAACTAGGGTATCAGCAACCTGTTGCCATCTCTGTAGAAGTTCAGTTGCTCCTTGTTCCAAAGTTCTTGAGAGAGTAAAAACTGTCACCTTTTCTGGAACCTCTACCAGTTGTAGCTTCCAAGCAAGAAGAACACCGAAACTCCCTCCCCCTCCTCCACGGATTGCCCAAAACATATCCTCTCCCATGGATACCCGGGTGAGAATCCTTCCATTAACATCAACAATTCTAGCATCAAGTGCATTATCTGCTCCAAGTCCATACTTCCTCATCATTGGACCATATGCTCCTCCTGTTATAAGTCCACCAATACCAACACTTGTGCACATGCCTCCTGGAAAACCATGTGTTTTGCTTCTTAAAGCAATCTGGTAATAAACTTCTCCTATAGTTGCACCTGTCTGAACCCAGGCACTGTTGTCTTCTATACTCACATTGATTGATCGAAGCTTAGACAAATCTAGTATCATAAATGGCAACTCTGTTTCTGACGTGTAGGATAGGCCTTCATAATCATGTCCCCCGCTGCGAATTCTGAGCAAGATACCGAGTTGTCTGGCACAAACAACAGCTGCTTGAATGTGTGATTCGACCGTGGGTACAAAGATGAGCTCAGGTTTGGGCCTAGAAGGTATCAAAAACCTCAGATTTTGTGCGGTAGATTGGAGAATATTGCTAAATGATGCATTGTTCGGTGTGAAAAATGAAGTGGAGAAAGGTATCGAGGATTCAGAAGTGAGGTTAACACAATGAAAAAACCTGTATTGGAGAGAATCTGAAGCAGAACTTGAAGATGGTAACAACACGATTAGTAATAATGATAAGATGACTGAGGTTGAAGACACCATCTTTTTGTTTTGTTTTGAGCTCAATCAACTAATGTAGGAGATGGAAATGGAGGTTGATACATCGCATATAGAATCATAGTGCATAGTTGTTGAGTTTCAATCACTGATTATATGGGACCATTGAGATGGGTTCGAAAGATATGATAAGATATTTTTGAAATTATTAATAAGATACTTGTACTCCCATTGCTTGATAAACTGTTTTGGATTGGAGGGACTCCCAATACTTCTTCATAAGGCATAAGTTGAGCGTTTGATTTGACCTAATTTTAAATAAAAAATAGAACCGGATAGAATAGATCAGAGCTTACTGGACCAGACTAGCTGGGAATAGAATCCCTACAAGTTTGATGGATGAATCGTAGAACCTAACAACCAAAAGTTGAATAGATTATGCTGACTATTACTGTATTACATTTATCATGATTACCTAACACATGAAAAAATTGAAGCCTGATTTGGATTGTTTGTTTGGTTTGTTCTTATTAGTGCTTGTGTGTTTGATTTGTGTTTTAAACTATCATTTCTTGTGTGTTATATGGTGGAAAAAATGTCATTACTACTCAAAGATTTGCCCTCGTCGTCAATCATACCCAATAGATTTTCGGTTAGTCAACTTTACCTTAATGTTTGAAATTTTTGCCAATTTCGTTCAATCGGCCCATGTTTTGTTTAAATTAACGGATCTCCGTTAGTTTTTTAATAAAATAATAAATTTAATTACAAAAATACCTAGTAATTTTTAAAAATTTTGAAAATAATCCCTAAAATATATAAAAATAACAAAACAGTCTTTTTTCACTTTTTTATTTTATTTTTCTCTAGTTTGTTCCATTTCTCTCAACTACTTTTAATGACCATAAAAGTCTATTCTATGAATTTTTAAAAAATATTTATTTATTTTTAAACTCTACCGTAAAAAATTAATCTTTGTATAGTTGTAACTCATAATTGTATTTATATAAGCATGTTAATTTTTTTAATAATATAATTTAACAATAAAGACACTATTTTTATGATTTATTTTATTCTTCCTAAAACAAATATTCCACATAAAAATAAAATATTAGCTCAAATAAAAAATATTAATATATTTTAGTATATTATAATTTAACTCAAGAGACTATAACTTGCATTAATATAATTCATAAAAAAAAAATAAAATATAAAATAATTAAGACACTATCTTTCTGATTTATTTTATTCTTCCTAACATAAAGACTAAAAATATTTAAATGAAACTAATATTCCACATAAAAATAAAATATTAGCTCAAATAAAAAAATGTTAATATATTTTAGTGTATTACAATTTAACTCAAGAGACTATAGCTTGCATTAATATAATTCATAGAAAAATAACTAAAATATAAAATAATTAAAACCTTAAAAAAATCCTCCAAACATAAGTTTTCCTTCTTGAATCTAAAACCTATTTTCTATCACAACAACTTATTACCATATTGTTACCTCCATTCATTTATTTTAAACTAAAATCATATAGAATAAGCTAGTAAGACTTCATCTATAGTTAGATATATTAACATCTCAAATAATTATTAGAAAATGTTAAATTCTCGTATTGATAAGTATAAACATATTTTTTACAAATTATATTATACCATGTAGTCTCTCTAGTTAAATTGTAATACACTAAACTATACTGAAATATTATTTTTTATTTGAGCTAGTATTTTATTTTTATGTGGAATATTAGTTTCATTTAAATGTTTTTAATCTTTATGTTAGGAAGAATAAAATAAATCAGAAAAATAGTGTCTTTATTGCTAAATTATATTATTAAAAAGATTAACATGCTTATATAAATACAATCATGTGTTACAACTATACAAAGATTAACTTTTACAATAGAGTTTGAAAATAAATAAATATTTTTTTAATACTCATATAATATACTTGTATGGTCATTAAAAGTAGTTGAGAGAAATGGAACAAAATAGAAAAAAATGAAATAAAAAAGTGAAATGTGACTATTTTGTTATTTTCATATATTTTAGGGGTTATTTTTAAATTTTTATAAATTACTGGGGTGTTTTTGTATTTAAATTTAATAATTTATTAAAAAACTAACGGAGATCCGTTAATTTGGACGGAAAATGGGCCAATTGAACGAAATTAGCGAAAATTTCAAACATTAGGATAAAGTTGGCTAATCGAAAATCTATTGAGTATGATTGACGACGAGAGCAAAGCTTTGGGTAGGTACGACATTTTTTCCGTTATATGGTCGTTAAACTAAAATAATACTATGTGATTTTACATCACACGACAACAACAACAATGGTCGATATAATGCATCACATATCAGACCAAAAGCTTAGTTATTGGGTGAACTTCGAGCACATTTTTGTACAAGACAAACATACTACTACCAAACTCAATAATAACTCTTCTTTCATCTGAAATCCAACCTGCAATCCAAATTGATGCACCTCTGGTGTGATTTATGAGTTATTGCAGTGATCTGCCGTGCTTCCCTGTTTGCTCTGTGACTTGTGGCAACATAAGAAAGCAACTTTAGCCAAGCTTTACACAATATTAACCATTTATCTAAGGTTTCACTTCATCCGATTTGTTGGAGAACTTTAAGCTCTTTAGCCAGAATGCGTTCATAAAAAACGCTGATATGCTCCTTTCCCCTTTTAACTTCAATTTTACTTCCAGAATTCTTTTTCACCTTTTTATTCCCTTTAGCAAACGCACCCCAACATTGCGTGATGATTCTAGTTGGCTTGTTCTAGCAATCCCGCCGGCGAATTTTCCTCTGCCGAAGCACACGAATACATGATCTCTAAATCAACCAGGGGGATATGATAATGAAGATTTTAAACTCAAGATCAAGAAATATAAGCGCAACGCTTAAGAACATACTTGAAGAAGCTGAATATGGCACAAAACTTCACTTGACAGAAGTTAAGGCTCTTTCTTCTTCATCTTTAGGTTTCCTGTTCACGAGTAAATTTAAGTTCTTCATAAAAATAGTTACTTATGTATGCAGTTTGAACACAAGTATTACAAAATCTCTTTTTTCCAATGCCAGTAACTGATCAAACATCATTGCAGACTGAATAAACAAGAAGATACATCATATATACAACCAGAAAGAAGCTTTAGACAATTAGCAGTGCTTTTGTTATTGTTAGTAGGACAAGCCTTTGATCATACTCTACTTGCAGATTTTAATCTAGCAACTTAAAGAGGACAACCATCAACTTTTCCATTACAGTCGCATTCTACACATGATCCCTTTATCCAAGAAGTTGCTAACCTAACCACAATCAGTACACAAGTAAAATAATATCCTTGATTTTGTCCTATTTGAAACTTGCAAGTTGCCCCCATCACAACGATTCACCTTAAATCCTAATGATTCAGTACAACACAGGAATGTGAAATCTATAATTGAAAATCAAATGGTAGAAATATATAAAGGACAATAAAGGTCACAATTGAAGGGTAAATTCATAATAAGTTTATTACATGGACATCTAAAAACTGAAGGGGAAGCAATGAAATTGACTATAGTACTGCTCTGGAACAAAGCAGCAAGTAGAAAGAAAAGGAAACTGCAGATGCACGAATGGAATATGCACCTAGAATTGGTATTGGTCTAAAGGGCCGGAAAGGAAAAAGCAACGGACTGAGCGCCCTTCCCCGTTCAAGTAAGCAAGTAAAAACTACCTTTCGGGGTCTAGCTTCTTGCCCTGATCTTTACACTATAAAATTCATGACAGGTTAAAATTTCCACTGGCTGGCCGAGGAACAGGAAGAGCGAGAATCTTGTCGAAAAACTCTTCCTCCACAGGACGACCTTCAGTAAGACGTTCAAGTGTTTGCACCAAACTAGGTACAACAGCATCATAAACCCCTTGAGGATCTTCCTCTAATTTCCTCATCAAACGCTGCCTTAAATCCCTCTTTAACTTCTGTCGAAACTTGTAGTCACTGAAGTAGAGATCACTCTCGAAGTCACTGAAATAAATTTCCTGAATGCATCTAAGCTGATCCTCCGTCAACTCTTCTGGTTTTTGTTCTAACATATTCATCGCGGATTTGCACCGCTTCTCCAAGTAGTACTTCTTAGCCAGAGTTCGAAAAGTGTTGATCTTCCATCGGGTATGATCACTGTCATCCTGATTCAATGTCGACTCTAATTCAAGTACTAGATCAATGTGACCGTACAACGTGCGACAAACTTTCTTGTACAGTGTCCCTTCCTTCAATTCGCCGCTCAAATACAACATCATGGCTTTTAAGAAATCATCATAACCTCTGATATCATCATTGTTCGCGAGTCGATTCTTGACTCTTTTCAAGAACTTGTTAGCAAATTGTCGGGGGCCAACATTACCTTCGTCTTTTTTACCGTTTGTTACCGAGACCCTTTGTTTTTCACCGTCGACTTGAGGCACGAAATCGAAATGCTTGAGTTTCCGAAGGAGATTTTCATGGCCTTCAAATATTACGATGAGCATATCAACTATTTTTTCTTCAGGAACAGTTTGACTCTGTAAAAGTTTTTTGGCATCAAGGAATTGGGTGTATTTGTTGTCGACATGGTTGGTGGGTGATAAAGCTTCTTCAACATCACGAAGGAATTTGCGGCCGAAAGCTTCTCCTTCTTCTTCTTCTTTGTCCATGTTTAATACCTTCAAGGTTTACTGTTGGCAAGAATTAGTGTTGTCTATAAAATTCCCTTTGCGTATGCAGATTTATAGAGATTCGATTCACACTTTTCCTTCTCGGAATAGGAAACGAACTACTACTAATCCTTTTCCAATTCTAATTAGGAAATTCAGGATGGCGCAGGGGGGAAAAATATGGAAATTGACTTAAAAGCTAAATTGAAGAAAAAAAAAGGAAACTAAAATCTCTTTCGATTTGATTTTGTAGAAGTGGAATTCCCCAAAACTTGGAGGAAAACTATGATTTCTTTATTTACTTGTCTTCTATGATAAGAGAAATCATGAGAACTTAAAATTACTATTATTATTCAACTTTTATATATTAGTTAAACCATAAACAAATGAGGCAAAAAAAAAATTTTGATCATCAATTTCAGGAACAAAATATAATCCATTTTGCCACATAATTTAAGTTAATAAAAATAAAATGGACTATTTTTCATGAATGATATAGATAAATAAATAATAATTGTGACATATGAGCCTAAAACAAGTTTTGAGTCTGGCATTAGCCTGACTAAACATCTTCTTCGGAATTTCAAGATCACAAACCTTAATCACTTTTATTCCTCAACACTGCACTACTTCTCTTTCCGAAAAGTAGTCCAGTTTTAATTATAAAAAAAAAAAACACAGAGTATCCCTTACAAAATTAGTATATCATAATAGTCAAAATTAATTTGATTAAAATAGCAAAAACAATCCTCGTTAAGAAACTGTTTGAATTGGAAACAAATTAAACAGGGGTAAAATTGAAAATTTTGTAGATAAATAATGATTGTAATTTGTATTGAATGAAATTTTTTTAGAAAAATTGTACCTTTGTCACAATATAATAAACTATTGTTCTAGAATATAATATAGAGAGAGTATTGAAAAGGTAAAAACTATCCTTAGACCCACACTACTTGCGGGCAAAACCTTGGATCTAGATTTGCCTCGTATACAAGAGCTTTTGAAGAAGAACTGATCTGTACAATTTATGAACCCGTTTAGAAAATAACAATCTATGTTCCATACTTTTAGCCAAAGAGGAGTTAAGCAAGAACGAGGATCTATATTTATTTATTTTTTTATCGCCTCCAATTGTATATCGGTATTCAGTACTCCTAACACATGACACTCTAATAAGACTTTGTATGTCTTCTGAATTCCAATCAAGACTACTACTGGCCTTAAGTAATGTAAGTCTGTTTTCGCCAAAAAAAAAAAAAAAAAAAAAAAAAGAAAAAAAGGAAAAGAAACTCATCAGTAAACGCCTTTGATCTTTCTGTGGCGTTAAAGTTGTGAGGAACAATACAAAAAATTGACTGCATAACCAAATTTGCCTGCTTGTGCGCCTAGTAGTGCATGCATGGGTCGGAAGATCTTGAAATGAGCTAAAATTTTACTCCCTCCTCCGTCCCATAATTATTGTCCACTTTGCCCAAGAAATTTTGTCCCAAAATTATTGTCCAATTTGACTTTTTATGGATCAAGTAACACATTTGTCCTTAGTAAAAAATATTATCCATAAAATCTTAGTGGTTAAACAATTACTTATGTAAGGATATATCCGGTTGTTTAAGGTAAAATATAGTTAAGTTTGACCAAAAATAAAATCTTTTATTTTAGTAAAACTGGACAATAATTATGTGACGGAGGGAGTATTAGATATTTCTGATGGAAAGTCAAAATGTGTGACAAGGGATGGAACCATAGTGTTTAATTTATTCGAACACACAACTTCCAAGCATATATTCCGATCAAAATTTCAAACTGTTGACTGTAATATATTAGTATTAGTCATTTGAAAATTTTTATTTAGTGTAATTTTTCTAAGGGTTTTTCTTAGTGAAACTGTTTAAAGTTTCTAAAATTTGCGGAGAATCAATACCGTAATATGAATGGAGGAAACAACACAACCATAAAATAGTAATATGTGACCTGCTGGTTACGAGTTTGAAACAAGAACCGGTTTCCTTTCAAGTTTCAACACAGGGGAAGGATTTTTTTTTATTTTTTATTATGATTTGATGATGTTGAAATACCTAACCTAGTACCAAACCCAATGGGGCCATTCTAAGAGTTGTTACACATTTTCAAGTTTTTCAGCTCCAATGAAATATATAGATATGGTGCCTGCAGGAATTTGACTAATTTGGCCAAAGTAGGCTGGCATTTTTAAGTTAATTTGTAACCGCAAATCACAACTAAAAAACCCAAAGATTATTTGAGTGATTGATTTTTTGAACTTAGGCAATTTTTTTGTTTAGGGATGATTTGAATTTTGAAGCTGAGACGGGAAGAAAGGCAATTTGGAGCAAAATTCGGCAATGATGCTTTGTTCCTGTATGGTCACTCTAAGAACTCTGTCCAGATTTAGAAAGAGCCTTCCTTATGTGATTTCGGCATAATTGAAAGAGTAAAAAGAACATATCTTTAATATTGAAAAAAGAAGAAGAAAAAGACATAGAACATGAATTCTTCATAGTCTGATGGGATTCTCAAAAATTATTGCCCCATGAATAAAAAGGAAAGCATTCAATTGAACAATTTGTTCACATTTCCTTCAGACAAGGAGTGAAGGGTTGGGATGCTCTGTTCATGCCTAAAGTAATTATCTGGATCATACTTTGTCTTCACAAGTATCAGCCTCTTGAAGTTGTTCTTGAAGTATTTCATACCCCAGAGACTTGCTTTCATCAAACTGGTGTTACCGTGGATGTTGTTCATTCCCAAATCAAGATCCTTATAATTAGCATAAGCTTCTCGAGGATTCTTGGAAACGTAAGGAGCCACGAATTCATACAATTCTCTGATCCAACCAAAGTGTTTCTTCTCTGTTTTTGCATCATCAGCTTGCCAGGCTGTCAGCCACTGGATCATGATCTTTCTGCCTTTTCTGTGAGGAAATGGGGTCGCAGATTCTGCAATTTTGCTCATCATCCCACCGTAAGGATTCCAAATCGAAAACGGCGCATCTTCTTTCAGAAACCTTTCCCATATCCCTTCAAGAGCGTGCTCTGGAATCGGCTCTGTTACGAAATCAGACTTTGCTTTGAAGTGAGTCTTGTTCATAAATGGCTTCCCCTGAAGCAGGAATTCAGGCCGGACAGTACTCGGGTATCCGGCGATGTACAAAGCCGATTCGATCCAGCTCATTTCCTTGCAGTCCTTCTGTGTTAAACCCAATTCGGGAAATTCTCGTTTCATTACTCTCAAAAGCCTGTCGATCCTTCCGAGGAATAATCCCTGATAAACCGTCAGGACGGTCCTTTTGCCGGGTTCACTGGATGAATTCACTGTCTGGATGAGGACTCTGATGAACAGATCCTCGTCGAGTTTATCAGCAACTTGTTGCCATCTATACAGAAGTTTTGTTCCGTTTTGCTCCAAAGTTTTTGGGACGGTAAAACCAGTCACAATACTAGGAACCGGGACCAATCTCAATTTCCAGGCCAGCAAAACGCCGAAGCTCCCGCCAGCTCCACCTCGGATCGCCCAAAACAGATCTTCCCCCATTGATTCTCTGTCAAGAATTCTTCCGGTTGCATCGACGATTCGAGCATCAACAACGTTATCAACTCCGAGCCCATATTTCCTCATCATCGGACCATAAGCTCCTCCTGTGATATGCCCTCCAATTCCTAAGCTAGTACAGAGTCCCGCCGGAAAACCATGAGTTTTACTCTGCTGCGAGATCCGATAAAACACTTCACCAACCGTCGCGCCGACTTCAACCCAGGCGCTGTTTTGATCTATACTTACGTTAATTGATCTTAGATTTGCGAGATCAATCAGTATGAATGGTACTGATTTAGTAGCAGAGGTGTATGACATCCCTTCATAATCATGGCCGCCGCTTCGGATTCTGAGCTGAATCCCGAGTTCCTTCCCGCATATGACGGCTGCCTGAACATGGGATTCTTGCAATGGCTTGAATATGAGCTTGGGTTTGGGTTTGGATGGCACCAAACATCTTAAATTCTGTGCTGTGGATTCAAGAGTGGAGGCAAAAGTTGAGGCATTTTTAGGGGTGAAAAATGCTTTGGGAAATGGTATGGAAAGATCAGTGTGGAGATTGACACATTGGTAGAATCTGTCTTCAATTGAATCTGAATTAGCCAAAATTATTGGAGCTGAAATGATTAGGAATACTGTTGACAATGAGAGGATTAGCTGGATTGAAGATGGCATTTTTTTGTTTTGCTTTATTGGTATATGGTTTTGCTATTAGCTAGCTTTCCTTCATTCCTATATAGGATGCTTTAAGGGTTTACTTTGACCACTTCAAATTCCATCGAAACCAAAAAAATTTTATCTTACGCTAATGGTTGGTTCCCACCCGAATGGATACATTATTGTCAGTCCAAATAGGAAATTCTTTAAGGTTTGTCTTTTGAACTTGTTTGATATTGTTGTTTTCCGCATGATAGAAGTTCCTCAACTGCTTACTCTTAAAAGGTTATTAGAATAGAAAATTAATAAAGAAATATATAAGCCATCACTAGACCTCACAAATAAGATGTACGACTTGAAATTGCCCTAATATTCCAAGTCTATTGCGAGCCAAAATTTCTAGGAATTAATCCATACGGTACGACTCATTAGTTTCCTAATGGAGTCGTGCCACACATTCAAAATTGCTGTTACGTATATGTGTATGTACTTCATCCGAGGAAAAAGTTGATTTTAATAAATTCTTCAAAATTTAATAAAAGGATTATTGTCTTGGGACGATGTAACACCTATGAGAATGAATTTCATCGGCCCTTAATCATTTCATAATTAGGGCCATTTCTTTTCTTGTAACTCAAAGTACAAAATATTCGTCATTAATGATTACTCTTGTGAAGCCACATTTCAAAATGAGGGCAAACTTTTTCAAGTGGAGGCTACTTTTACATTTTTTTTTCTTTATGTGGTTAGGCACTTTATCATTGTCAAACATGAGGAATAGATAATTTAATTTGTACCGACAAATGTGTCTGTGAGACTTTACAAATAAACCTGGAAATATAAATTTATTTATATACATTATTAACCTAACCTGTTTATATTGTTTTTTAATCAATCACCACATGATTATTCCAAGAAAAAAGAGCTCTTAGTGGATTTATTTATAACTCTCTCTCGTCAAAGTGTGAAGTGTGAAGAAGGTTGGACAGTTGGGACGTGATGCTTGTTGTTTAGTGGATAAAAAGTTGTCATTTCTTAGACTTAAAAATGACTGTAAACAGGGCAGATTGTGTGGAAAGCTTTCAAACTTTATGACCTGTGTGAACGAGTACAAGGCCTGTTTCGTTAAGAAAGAGTAAACGTCAACATTTGGCATCGATCACATTGATGTCCTGTTGCATCGGTATTCTTTTATCTGTTTCGTAAACCAAATTTGATTTCTTGAACTAGATTTAATATTTTGGGATAAAATTATAGTACTCTTCCGTTCCATAATTATTATCCAGTTTTGATTTTCATTTCTAGTACAAATTGTACTAAAATGAAATCTCAAACTGGACAATAATTTTGAGACAGAGGGAGTATTACATATGGAAATAGTACTCGTTTTGTTGACGTGTGCGGGTCTATGAAATTTTTGTGTCGAATCCAATTTATTTGGGTTCAAAATCATTTTTCGTCCCACACATTTCAAAATACTCATTTTCGTTCAATTTTATAAAAAAGATACAATTTTGTGACTATTTACGTTCTAAGTTATCAAAAATATTATGTGGTCAAACAATTCATTGCCATTTGGCTGTCTCATGTGCTCTACAGTAACATATTGGAGCTAGAAAAGATTGTTGGCGCCTAGAGATGATTCCAATCCCCTAGTTGACTAGTTCCTAGTTACTCCCCATATATATAATTTTTTAGGCATCTTGGATTCTACTTCACTTCCATCTCTTCATCTATACATTTTCCTTGTTATGGGGTTCTTAAATTAGGAATTTATGATAAATCTCCATCTTCTGATCAATTTTTAAGAAAGAAAGAGAGAAGAGAGGACAGCTAGAAGTGGTTTATTTAGCTAGGTAGATATAAAAGAGAATTTATTTGTCCAAACTGATCGTCATTTTTAGATTTTTAATCATAGTACGATTTGTATTAAAATTAAAAATTCGAAATGAATAATCATTTCGAGAGGGAGCGAGTTCAAAATAATGAAGCATGAAGCTTTTATTAGCCACGGTAAGGTTTTCACTTTTCATCAAATTATTTCAAACTTGAAGTTCATATTCACTTTGTTTTGGTTTCCTTCCCCCCTTATAGTAGCCAAGTACCGTTTAAAAAAAAAAAAAAAATAGTAGCCAAGCTAGCTAACCACTTCGAATTGTGTTTTGGGTACCCGTGAATTTTTTACTTCTTTTATGTGCACAACTAATCAATTCATAAGAACTAATGAAGGTTTTAGTCTCTAATGTAAACCTTGTTTGAATCATTATCATGTGGGGTAGTCGAAATAAGATCTAAGGAGTCATTTTTTTTTTTCCAGAAAAAGAAATGGTAAAAAACAAGGATTGGAAAACACATTCGTTGCTTAACAGCGCCCACAGTTTATTATGCTAATTTTCTAAGTTTTAAACATTTTTGTTCCATTCTTTACTTCTAATTAATGCTGGGCCTGAAAGCCAGTTGTCACCCTGTATACGTAGCAAATGACAGAATTAATGGTGTTATTTAAAAATTGGAAGTCAGACTAAGTTGCGCGTGCTTATACTTTAAATACGACTGAAAGTCAATTAAAAACTGTTTTGACGTACTACTATTTTTAGTGTAATTGTTAAAATCGGAAGAACCAATAATGTAAGATCTGATTAGAATGAAAGAAGTTAGTAGTTTTTTCCATATGACGTTTTGGTCTGTTGCTACATTACAATCGGTGAAGAACAAAATGAATTTAGAGTTCTAATTTGATTCTTTCAACAAGTTTGATTTTTGTTTTTTTCCTTTCTATCTTTCACTCATGTTTTTTAGTGAGAACTTGATAAATTTGAAAGTGCTGCAGATTGCAATCTCCAACTGGAAAAGTCTTGTTTCTTCCTATCGCGCGCCTTCCTTTACCCAGGGTTGTCTAACAGAGGAAACCTTTGAATATTCGGTCAACTGAGAAGATACTTTGAAAGGAATGATCCGATCAAATCATTAAAGAGGTTGTAGGAACAAATTAAACCTACATAATTTGAGAAGTCAAATTATAACGGAGGTAATGACTTGTCTATCAGTCCTCCACGAAATATCCAATTTGAGTATAACTCGTGTAAAGGTTCACATGGATTGTGAAACTATAACCGGTAACTTAAGCGATTCACTAATCCCTACAGAAGTACGGGAAGTTGTTTCTTTGTGAAATGATCTTATACCTTCTTTTCAATCATGCAAATTGATTAAAGTTAGTAGGCAAGAGATTCATAATTACAAAATTTAGTGTATTATAGGATATAAGGTAATAGTTTAGATATCTTGACTTAATATAGACATGCACCCTTTCCAAAAAAAGTATGTAAGAAATGGTAGGGTGTTGGACACTTGGACCTGTTCATGGTCCTGCGAAGCAGCCGTAGTGGTGATAATGAACATTGAACAGGGATGCGGTCCAATTATCTCGCCATGCAATTCTTTCTTGTATTCATGGGCTCATTATGTATTTACGTCACATTTCTGGGGAAAAAAACTTTGATCAAGATGGGCTTTGTTTTTTCTTTTTAATAAAATTTGCATATATATTAGATCATGCAAAATTGGTAACACTGTGTCATGAACCTGGGTCAAAAATAAAAATACCTAGAAACGTAGGATTGCATTTTAATTTTGTAATGGCATCGAAAAGGAATGAATTGATCTTCTTCATTCCTTATCTTTTCTCTCAGCCTCCTTCTCCGATCTCATCGCCGGCCCTCCATTAACGGCTACATGACACTGTTGGGGAAAACAATTCAAGTATATACCACCGTTGTTAACTCTAGGACATGCATATGTAAGTTAACCAAAAGTGCAATTAAAAAGAATGATGCTTCAATAATCAAAATAGTGACAAATTGTTCAATTAAATTTTTTTTTGTTGCCCGGGGGGTGGGGGATGGGTTGAACTGGGACATTCTTCGCGAGAATAAAGATAAGTATCGAATGTTTAAATGCATAAATATAAGCATTGCATACCATATTTTAATACTATTAATTTGAGCTTGAGATGTGTGTGCTTCAGTATTTGAATGTTTAATCAAATAATTTTGTTTGATAATACTTGTCTGAATGCTGAAACAAATATCTTATTTTCCTTGTATTGATTGCTTTCCCAATTATACAAAAAGTTATGAAAAATTAAATTCAATCATATGCAACAATTAATTAAAAAGACAACACAGCGAGAAATTTTTTAATATTTTTCAAAAGATGAATTTTGTTAAACTTGCTGAAAATCAGTCTAATACAAGAAATTTTGGTAGTACATACCAATTTAATATATAAGACTTTACATGTGTAGGTATAGCATGTGCTACATCATTTTTCAGACGAGAGATCTAATATAAGGCATTAAAAGACAAATCTAGTAACAGTTGCCTAATCTCAAAAAGTACAGGTACACAGAGACTAGAACAATTGGCTTCTCCTTCCAATTATAATATAGGGATCCTAGGTAGGGTGACACTCACACGACTAAAAAAAGGGGGAACTCCCAATATTTACAACAATGCCATCCGAGTGTTTATACGCACCCATTAATACCCCCATTATGTGCGATTTTTTGATTTTCAAATCTTGATAACCACCATTATCTCCTAATTTTCAGCCATTATTGATGATCCAACATTCCATTCGATCTATTCCATTACTCCCCAAATCAAAAAAAAAAAAAAACCGAAACCCCAAAAAATCAATCCTGTGGCGATACATTCAGGGAAGCTTCCGTCGGCGGGACTTCCGAAGTCTGAATCGAATCGTTCATAAAAATAGTAATTCTGATTACAAGTTACAATGCTGAAGATGAGGAATAAGGTGTATTCTGGTCAAATTCATCGATTTTTCTGTGTTTATCCATTGTTGTTCGATTCTAGTTTGATGAATGTTGTTTTTTCTTAAAATATTCATGTAGATGCCTATGACTGAGGATTCCGAATCGAGTATGAGCAAATCGGAGGATGAAGGGGAAGCGAGGTAATAAAACTACTCTCTTCAATCATTGGTGTGGTTTTTTTTGTTTGGGTTATGTAGATCTAAGATATGTTCACTCAATTAACGATGTTTGTTCATCAATTTTAGAGATATGTTTCTTCGATTTGCTTTCTTTTGGTAAATTAGAAGATCTGAGAATTATTCATCAGTTTGGTATAATTAG